GAGCTCTGAGCTGTTGTTGAACCCCCTAACTCAATGTCCCCAGGCACAGACAGGACGAGCGACTCAACAACAGTCGTGGTCACGTCACCTGCGGCCGTAGTGATGATACACAGGTCAAGCTCGTTAAGCGCGTCACGGCGAGCGCGGTGGTACAGCTTATCGTACTCGCGCTTGTAGGCTCGGGCCTTTTCCAGTCGCTGAGCCTTTAGGATCGGGTACCGCTTTTCCAGGCACGCACGCTTGCCAACGAGCTGCCGCAGACTTGAGACAGCCCAGTTGGTGTTGCACAGGGGGCAGTTGGCACCATGATGTTTTCAATAATGAGGCACCTACTTATTTTGTTATCGCTGATGTTCCGTTTGCTCGTCCTCCATCATCTTCATATCTTACCCTGTCCTTAATTCTTATCGCGTTTTCAAGTTCTGATAAAACGTTATTTTTGACCGTGGCAATCTACTTGCAAGTTGATGCATTCACCTACTTAGACTTTTACAAAAATTCTTCAATCTACTTGAATTACTTAATTCCTCCATATGCGCACTACTTATTAGGGCATCTCCACCGGTGCTGAGTAAAACTAAAAGCAAATTGCCCTAAGATCCGTGCCTACAACGGCACAACCGTGCTAAAGACAGTGCGCAGCTCCACCGGCAATTGAGACTCGCAGCAAGCGCGTTAAAGCTCTTGGTTCGGCGCCAGCCATGGCGACGGCGCACAGCTGTATAGCCCTATAAAGGGCCCGGCAGCACGTTGAGGAAGACCCAGGGATGACGTAGCAAGGGCGACACTGCGGTCTGTGACGCTTGCGCTGCTTAGAACGCTTGACTTGGCCCTACTACTGGTCGGTCGACATTTTCATGTACTCAACCTTTTACTCAAAGCCTCCTCCGTTGGCAAACTTGTGCAAAACGTTGATCTGCGTAAAAAATGGAGCAATTTGCTCAGCATTTGCTCAAACCGGTGGAGCTGTACAAAACTAAAACTATGATTAAATATTGACAGAAAAGGGGTAAAATTTAGTTTTACTCACGACCGGTGGAGATGCTCCTAGTGCTGATTCATACTCTTTCGTAAGACGATACTTAGCCCCAGAATGCCTATCATAAGACAAAGCGTCTTACGTTTTCCGATCAACGCGTTTTGACTACATTTTGGTTGTTGTATACCAGTGGCTACATTGCATATTGTCTGTCAAAACATAAGACAGTTTGTCGGACACTAGTTTGCGCCATACAATTGGCCAAAAATGTTCAGGTCTGCTCGCCACGACAGCGGCATCGTTGCCGCGGACGCGGTGGCAACGTTGAGCGCCGAAACGATGCAGTTGCATGATGCGGTAGGGTAAGTAGCCTCCTGTTCACACACGAAGCGATGTGCCTGTAGTTGGCCGCTGGCAGCAAGCTTAAATATCGGCATAATGACTGCACGAACGCGTGCATGCAGTCCGTGGAGCTGTTCCACTCAGAGGTGCAGCCGTTGAAGGGCACGGAGTTACGATGAAGTTTGTAGACGTAGACTAAGAGGGACAAATAGCTCGTAACGGTACTACATGTACATTTTAATGTAGTAATTTTTATGCTTGAGCGTACATCATAGTAGTTGTGAAGGCGAGGCAGCCAGGGAACGGTGTTGCCAGTGGGCTTCCCGAGATCCTCCGACCCCCTCTTACCTAATAATTACAGTCCAGCAACAAAATGCAACCACGTACTCTGCAACGGCGATAATACCTAGATATTGTACCTACGACGCTGAGGTGCGGAGGAGCTCCACACTGCTGCGCGGGCGCTCGGCGCGCGCCATATCGCTGCTGGGCTCGACCTTCGGCATCGGCGAGTTACTCGGTATCTCCTGCAACTAAGCCACTGCCTGCAGCCATGCTTTTTGTCGATGCTACAGCGTAGACTGGTTTGCGTATGCGCCCTCTATCCGAATCTCCATCTTCTATGTAGTGTTAGTACTTTACTGTAGAAAGGAGAGTTGGCGTGGTGGGGTGAACGACTGTTGTCGTTCACCCCAGTAAAGCGAAGAAACATTGCTCCACTACGGGAACAAACGGTCGTATGATAACTGTGCTATGATGTCCTTACATTCCATTCCTGGCAAGTATATTTAAATCTTCTAGCAGGAGGTTAGTGCATGGCGTCAGGATCAAAAGCCCGGACATTTTTCAAGTGCGCTGCCTCTAGTATAGGGGGCAAAATGCGCACACAGATGAATCAGTCCAATTTACGAGCCGAGATGCAGCAACACTCAAAACTACATAATACAATATTAACCAATGAAATTGCTACATTTGATTTGTCGTCAAACTGTCTTACGAATGCTCGACACAAGTGATTGACCATCCACGACTTACAGCAATTCGTACTCGAGTACGATTTATAGTCGTGCTCGATAAGTCGTACGAGTTATTGTGCTTTGCAGTTATTTTGCCGACCATTTTAGACGCTAAATATGGCAAAGCCTGCTCCTAAATATGTGTGAAAGAAGATACACGGCCTGCTAAAATTATGCATAAATCCACCTCCTCATATATATATCGACTTGGGAGGGCCTGTCAGCAGCCATGCATTGGCCCAGTACACCACCGTCCATGATCCCCAGCACATCCACCCTCTTATGCATAATTGCCGTGTGTGTAGGTGCTTGTGGATAAAAACCGACAGAATTGCAGCTGCACAGCCACAATTGCACTTTTGAAAGTGCAATTATGGCACTTTTAGCGTAATTCTAGGCCTCCACCCATTTATGCACCTCGATTTATCGTAAATCTAGCAGGCGATCGTAATAATACAGCAAATCTCGCCTCATATTGCCAAAATCATTGCAAAGCACAAATACAGTCTGAAGTGCCAAAAAGTACAATATGTGTTATTATAATAAACCTGGCGAGATGTGCGCCTAAATACTTTTGTCCAATAAAAACAGAAACTACATAGTGATTATGTCCAATTAAAGCGAATATGTGGTCTACATTAAAGAGAAGTCGCACTCTCGCAACACTGCCGCTCTGCTGGACATGGCGAGCCAGTCGGATCTCCAGCCTGGAGTCGAGGAGATAGCCGCATTCGTGGACGACAGCGTCTTCACTCAGTTGAGCGCGAAACTGGGGGACGCGAAGGAAGGCAACGAGGGAGCACTGGAGAAGAAGCCTCTTCGCATCGATAAGTATTTGAAAAAATATCGCGACGCGGGACTCCGGGTCTCTCAGAAAGAATTTAATGGATGCTTGGAGGTGAAGATTGGGATCGTATACGAGCACCCAGACGTGACGGTCGATCTTGCGGAAACCATTACGGTCAAGACGATTGAAGACCTCCTGGCAAAGTTTGTTCCGGAAGACAACCCCCTCATCACCAAGCTGGGTGAAGACGAAATGATTCGACTCTCGGATGCGTTCACTAAAGTCACGTACGTCGGCAAGGCCCAAGACGACCTCGCAGAATACCTGCGGGACTGCTGGAAAGAGTACAACCCTGCAAAGTACAAGGCGCCATGTGTGGCGGTTGTGCAGAGTTCCGGCTTCGGCAAGAGTCGGACAGTGCGTGAGCTTGCGCTCAAGGCAGAACGAGAACCGAACTTGAACCTGAAAGTTTTGTACATGTGCGCGCGTGTGCACCGATCGACGGGGTTTCCGGAGGCTACGAGTAAGCTTCGTGATTCGCTGTTTGACCCTGCCGCCTCCTCAGTGCAAGAGGTCGCCAGGCGATTGAAGGCGATTTACTGCTATGCGAAAGATCATTGGGCGGACGTTCAGACGGAATGGCTGGAGCTGTTTATCGACAATGCAACTGACAGTTCCGTGTGCGGCCAAGCTTTTGAAAGAAACAGAAATGATAAAGGCGTCCGATTCAGCATCCGTACCGGACACCTTTATCCAAACTACGGGTACCTCCACCGTGAAGGATCCAGATGGCAAAATGGTGGTTCTGGTGATCGATGAAGCGAGAAGTCTGCTGGCTGAGGTGGATGGCAAGAAGAACGATTTTCGTATGTTGCGAAATGCTCTTAAATCCGCTAACGAAGATATCGGCCCCGAAGGAGGCATTTTCGGCGTGCTGATTGATACGAACTCGCAGATCTCGGACCTGACGCCGCCTCTGTTGTTGGACCCATCTTCTCGGAAATCTGGAGGTAGTTTGGCATCGTTCGCGCCGCTTGTACTAGCTGATACGATGGACGCACACTGGGATGACTACTTTGAAGATGAAGAGATAAACGAGGGAACCCAAGTTGCGGTGGGAGCTGAAGACGAAGAGAAAACGAAACAGCAAGAACGTGCTAAGATAGCCATGTACAAGACCGTCGTAACTGGAAGTGACGGTCAGGCCTGGGAGGCGTTGAGGCGCATGGGCCGCCCGATGTGGTACAGCACTTACCCCGATCCAGCTCATAAAGTTCGCGTGATTGATCTCGCGGCGAATAAACTGCTACTGGGGATTCCCCCTTCGCAAAATGCGTACAACAAGGATACCATGTTTGGTGTCGCCTCCATGCTTTGTCGACTGGGTGTTCGACCGCATTCGACGTCGGCTTTGGCATCTCGTGCCCCCGCTGACTTCATGGCGATTCTCGCGTATGTGAACTTCAAACGAGAGGGTTACGTCACCAGCTACGCTTCGGACCCAGTGCTCGCCTTAGGAGCGATGAAAGTGTGGTATGAACTGAAATATGGTCTGGCAAAGTATATCCTGCCGCAACTCAAGAACCTCCTTTTGGATGAAGCGTTGGACACCGGTGGAGTTGGCGAAATTGGCGAAATGGTTGCTCGGATTTTGCTGCTTCTGGCGATGGACACGTGTGTGATGGGGGACAAAGACTTTTCCCAGTGCTACCATACGATCGGGCAATTTGTACCGGTGCAGGATTTCTTGAACGTGCTAACAGGCCACGAGGAGATGTCGATATATTGTAAGGGGATGTACAACGCGGAAGATAAGAGACCAGAATTCAACGAGTGGTGCTCGAAGTGGGATGGTTGGTACGTGGGGTTCACCCACTTTGTGCAGTTGCAGCTCGAGCCGAATGAGGACACGCTTTGGTTTTTGCTGGGACGTCAGGCTGCAGGTATTTTCCCCCGTAACCAGTATGGAGCCGATTTGTTGATCCCGATGTTTAAGAAGAGATCCAACAGCAGGCCAGTCGGTGGGGAGACTACGAGGGGTGAACAAGAGGAGCATGAGGTGTTGATGATGTTGATTCAAGTGAAGAATCGTTTCCCAGTCGATGGTGGGTTTTCCAGGGCAGCGACGGAGAAACTATGCCCCTGGTTTGTGTTCGGAAAGAACAGTGATGGGAACTCGTCAGCGGGGAAATCTACCGGTGAAATTGGTGGGGATCCGAACCCGCTGAGCTCCACGGATGTCCGTGATACCATTCGCATCTACATGAATGTGCGCGGTAGAACGCGTGACGGCAAGTTCATCTATGCCACGACAATGAAAGACAATCTTAAGCCCAAGAAGAAAGGCAACGCCTCTGAGGTGAAGGAGGAGAGTCAGACGATCGGGAGTCAGGCGAAGAAGCGGGCGAAGATCGAGAGCAATCCTGGCGTCTCAAGTGTGTCGAGTGTCTCGGAGGAGGATCCTGTTTTCACGATCTGCCTCCGTTTACTCAACAGGGTCACCTACCCGTTCCTGAGCGACGGCGTGGCTTCCATGCTATCAAACATGGTGGAGTCTCAGTATGACCCGCTGGGGCTTGTGGAGGGCGACCTGGACTATCGCGATGAAGATGAAAAACGAAACAAGGACGTTAGTTCGTATGCGAAGTTGTCGCTTACCGCGAAGCGCGACAAGTTGTTGCAGAACGCCCGTAAAGCACTAGCGTACGCGCCGGGTGACAAGGAAGAAGAGTGACGCTGAGAGTGACGTTGGTGGCAGTGGTGAGGGCCACTAGGCGATCAAGGTGGCGAGACGGAAACATCCAAGAAACGAGCACGTGAAAACCAAGAGGGTGAAGAAGCCGTCCCACTAAACGCGCCAAGTGATCCAACAAGACGCCCAAGCCCACACCGAGGCAGTAACAGTACGTGCCTGGTGCCTGCAGCAACTAGTTTTAACTACCAACAATTTGTTTTACTTGAGAGTACGCAGCCACCTCCAGTACGCTTCACCTTGCAGTCTTACGGAAGTAGCACGTCTTTTGCTGTCTACGTCGTCTTTACTGCTCTACCTACTCGTCCTGCAGGAACGGGTATTATAGTCCGTGCACCCGCGCGCGTCGCCGAGGTAGAACGTGTCCGTGTCGTAGTCGTTCACGGGCTTGTTGAGTTGGAAGCGCCGCACCAGGTCCGGGTTCGAGATGAAGTGGCGGCCGATGGCCACGGCGTCGGCCGCGCCCTCCTCCACGATCTGCACGGCCGACTGCCGGTCGAAGCCCGACGCGGCGAGGAGCACGCCCTTGTACGTCTCGCGGAACTGCCGCGCCGAGCCCTTCTCGGGTGCCAGCGGGTCACGCACGTGGTAGCCACGCGGCTCGATCAGGTGCGCGTAGGCCAGGTCGTAGTTCTTGAGCCTGTTCAGCACGTACGTGTAGGTGGCGACGGGGTCCGAGTCCTTGTCGCCGAAGCTGCCGCCGAACGGGGACAGTCGGATGCCCACCTTGGACGAGTCCAGACTCTCGAGGATGGCCTCCAGTGCCTCGAACAGGAAGCGCGCGCGGTTCTCGACGCTGCCGCCGTACTGGTCGGTGCGGTCGTTGATGCCGTCGTGCAGGAACTGCTCCAGCAAGTAGCCGTTGGCGGCGTGCAGCTCGACGCCGTCGAAGCCCGCGCTGATGGCGTTCTCCGCGGCCGAGCGGTAGTCCGCCACGATGCCCGGGATCTCGCTCGTCTCGAGCGCGCGCGGGGGCACGGGCTCCATGCGTCCTTCGCGCGTGACGATCTTCTTGCCGGCGCGCAGGACGCCGCCCGGCTGGGGCCGATGCGGCCCGTGTGGTCGTATCTTACCTATGGTATGTACCGCATCGCCGAAGTTATTGTTCGCACATTTATTAATACCATAAAGCGCACTAAACACTTGGTGGCAATTTGGCCGGACTTCCGAGACAACACTAGGAGGATTCTGGAAGCAACTCGGGCATTATTTTCAAGAAGAAATACTCTACTTTTGATACGTAGCCATGTATTTACCAAACTACGCACTGTACGGGACTAGACTTGATTGAAATTTGTGACTGGGTTTGGCGGTGCTTTCCAATACAAACATCAAGTATAAAGGATTTGTATTGACCCGGAAAAAAATCGATCGAGTTTTCTGGTACATGTTGCTGAACTGAGCAAGCCCAGCATCGCTACCATGTTGAATAGACGCCAATGAAGACACTAGTCAGCTGACAGCCTCAACTTACGAGTATAGACCTCTCCACACTGTCAAACACCACTCTTCTATACAAATTCAAGATAGTGCGTGTCTCCATTGAATCTTATCAACCGCGTCAGCTTAACCTTATTTGAGCAGCTTACTACAGTGAAGTGCGTCGATAAGGAACGGGCGACATTTTATATTCTACGACAAGACATGAATCCTCGCTTGTACCCATTGTGTGCCAATTGTACTGAATTAGTTATATGATTCTACCAATCATTCGGTCCCGTTTAACATTCCGCCAATCACAGTTCCGAAACCGAGCCTCAAGAGCGGCTGGATGGAGCGGCTCCCAAGTCGGGGGAAATGGAACCTAAAGGTCGCGAGAGGGAATCATGAGCATGAGGATCGCTGTGAGCGCGGGAATCGCGCCAGGTACATGTCTGCATGCCTCATTAACCAACTTTCGCTCTGCTGCTCACAACTCCCATGGTGACCGCCACTTCCAGACCGTTCCAGAGGTGGCTACGTCTGACCAAGCTTCAGTCGCTGCTAATCTGTCATCGCCGTCGTGATCTACCGGGTGCTACCTATGCTGAGTTGGCTGCGTGGGCTCAAGCCGAGACTCTGGTCGCGAAGTCCGACATGAACTACATAGTGCAGTAAATCAGTGCATTTGCTGTCTGCATGTGACGAGTCAAACCTTTAATTATCAATATACCTTTTTCTTTCAATGTATATCAGGCGTTCCTTATCGACGCACTTTACTGTACCGGTAGGCGTTATTCGAGCTGTTCAATGGAGTTAGTTCATTTATTACGCTTGAAACAGCTCTCCACGAGTTTGTTACCAATCTTACCGATAGCTTACCGGGTGCGGCTATAATTTTGACCCGACCCAAAGTCGGTTTTTCGTCCATTGCAAAAAAACGGTTACAGCTTTTTCGATTCTGATTGTTGCATCTGTTTTCTATCGATTTTAGACGAATCATAAGCAGCGGTTTGGCGCCGAAAGCACAATCATTGGTTTAAAAAAATAATTTTTGGGGTGCGGTTATAATTTCGGCGCGCACTGTATATCACGTAGATGCGGTACCGTGTTTCTGGTACAAAACTGAGGGAAGAAAAATCCAACCGGCCATTTCCACATTTCCCCTCCAAGCCTTGTCCTGTAGCGCCACTGCTGTGCTGCTGCAGATGGACATGTCCAGCCAGTTGGATCCCCAGGCTTTGGCCGCGTTCGTGGACGACAGTGTCTTTGCTCAGATGAGCGGGAAGCTTGGAGCAGACGCATCGCCGAAGAAAAATCTTTTCGTTACGTGGATGCTGGAAGACTATCCCAACAAAGCCACACTCCAACTCGAGGCCTCCCAGATCCAGATACATGGATTGATACAGGTGGAGATCAGAAGAGCATACGGGCATACACGCGTGTCTCGACCTCTTGCACAAACTATTGCGGCCAAGACGGTGAAAGACCTCCTGGCAAAGTTTGTCCCTGAAGCCCGCTCCGGCACGCCCAAGTTGGATGAAAATGAAATGAAGCGAATCGCGGAGGCGTTCACCAAGGGCCGGTACCTCGGCGAAGCCCACCTCGACCTCGCACAGTATCTGCGGGACTGCTGGAAGGCCTACACCCCCACAAAGTACAAGGCGCCATGTGTGGCGGTCGTGCAGAGTTCTGGCTTCGGCAAGAGTCGGGCGATGCGTGAGCTCGCGATCGAGGCTCAAAAGAGCGCCTTGAACATGAAAGTCCTGTACATGTGTGCCCGTGTGCACGAGTCGACGGGGTTTCCCAAGGCTACGAGCGAGCTTCGTGGTTGGCTGTTTCAAGAAGGCTCCGAAGTGGAAGACATCGCCAGTCGATTGAAGACAATTTACGTCTACGCGAACAAGCATTGGGCGGACGTTCAGAAGGAATGGCTGAAGCTGTTTACCGAACAGGCAGCGGACACCTCTGTAAAGGCGAAACTTTCGGATGAAACAGACACGCTGGAGGGGGATACCTCCACCGAGAAGAATCCAAATGGCAGAATCGTGGTTCTGGTGATCGATGAAGCGAGAAGTCTGCTGGCTGAGAAGGGAGGCAAGAAGAATGACTTCCGAATGTTGCGAAATGCTCTCAGATCCGTGAACAAAGTTATCGGCCATCGTGGATGCATTTTCGGCGTGCTGATTGATACGAACTCCAGGATCTCGGACCTGGCGCCTCCGCTGTTGTTGGACCCATCATCTCGGCTTTTCGATGGAGAGTTGGCATCGTTTGCGCCAGTTGTGTTAGCTGAGACAATGGACGCACACTGGGATCAATACTGTGAAGAAAAACAAGCCGGCGAAGATGAAGAAATGAAAGAGGACATCCAAGATGTAGATGAAGAAATGAAAGAGGAAATACTAGATGCGGGAGCAGAAGATGAAGAAATGGAAGAGGAAACTCAGGTTGCGGTGGGAGCTGAAAACGACGAAGAGAAGAAGAAACAGCAAGAACGTGCTAAGATAGCTATGTACAAGAGAATCGTTACCGGGGATGCGAGTCAAGCTTGGCACGCGTTGTGCCGCATGGGGCGTCCGATGTGGTACAGCACTTGCCCCAATCCTGCGGATAGAGAAGATGTGATCAATCTTGCGGCGAACAAGCTGCTACTGGGGATTCCCCCTTCGCAAAATGCGTACAACAAGGATACCATGCTTGGTGTCGCCTCCATGCTTTGCCGTCTGGGCGTGCGCCCGCATTCAACGTCGGCTCTGGCATCTCGGGCGACTGCCGACTTCATGGCGATTCTCGCCTATGTGAATTTCAAACGAGAGGGTTACGTCACCAGCTACGCTTCGGACCCAGTGCTCGCCTTAGGAGCGATGAAAGTGTGGTATGAACTGAAATATGGTCTGGCAAAGTATATCCTGCCGCAACTCAAGAACCTCCTTTTGGATGAAGCGTTGGACACTGGTGGAGTTGGCGAGATGGTTGCTCGGATTTTGCTGCTTCTGGCGATGGACACGTGTGTGATGGGGGACAAAGACTTTTCCCAGTGCTACCACACGATCGGGCAATTTGTACCGGTGCAGCAATTCTTGAAGGTGCTACAAGGCAAGAAAAAGCTGCCGATATATCTCAAGCGGATGATCAGCAAGGAGAATTTGAGACCAGAATTCAACAAGTGGTGCTCGAAGTGGGAGGGTTGGTACATGGGGTTCACCCACTTTGTGCAGTTGCAGCTCGAGCCGAATGAGGACACGCTTTGGTTTTTGCTGGGGCGTCAAGCTGCAGGTATTTTCCCCCGTAACCAGTATGGAGCCGATTTGTTGATCCCGATGTTTAAGAAGAGATCCAACAGCAGGCCAGTCGGTGGGGAGACAACGAGGGGTGAACAAGAGGAGCAGGAAGTGTTGATGATGTTGATTCAAGTGAAGAATCGTTCCCCAGTCGATGGTGGGTTTTCCAGGGCAGCGACGGAGAAACTATGCCCCTGGTTTGTGTTCGGAAAGAACAGTGATGGGAACTCGTCAGCGGGGAAATCTACCGGTGAAATTGGTGGGGATCCGAAACCGCTGAGCTCCACAGATGTCCGTGATACCATTCGCATCTACATGAATGTGCGCGGTAGAACGCGTGACGGCAAGTTCATCTATGCCACGACAATGAAAGACAATCTTAAGCCCAAGAAGAAAGGCAACGCCTCTGAGGTGAAGGAGGAGAGTCAGACGATCGGGAGTCAGGCGAAGAAGATCGAGAGCAATCCTGGCGTCTCAAGTGTGTCGAGTGTCTCGGAGGAGGATCCTGTTTTCACGATCTGCCTCCGTTTACTCAACAGGGTCACCTACCCGTTCCTGAGCGAGGACGTGGCTTCCATTCTATCAAACATGGTGGAGTCTCAGTATGACCCGCTGGGGCTTGTGGAGGGCGACCTGGACTATCGCGATGAAGATGAAAAACGAAACAAGGACGCTAGTTCGTATGCGAAGTTGTCGCTTACCGCGACGCGCGACAAGCTGTTGCAGAGCGCCCGTAAGGCACTAGCGTACGCGCCGGGTGACAAGGAAGAAGAGTGACGCTGAGAGTGACGTTGGTGGCAGTGGTGAGGGCCACTAGGCGATCAAGGTGGCGAGACGGAAACATCCAAGAAACGAGCACGTGAAAACCAAGAGGGTGAAGAAGCCGTCCCACTAAACGCGCCAAGTGATCCAACAAGACGCCCAAGCCCACACCGAGGCAGTAACAGTACGTGCCTGGTGCCTGCAGCAACTAGTTTTAACTACCAACAATTTGTTTTACTTGAGAGTACGCAGCCACCTCCAGTACGCTTCACCTTGCAGTTCTTACGGAAGTAGCACGTCTTTTGCTGTCTACGTCGTCTTTACTGCTCTACCTACTCGTCCTGCAGGAACGGGTATTATAGTCCATGTACCCGCGCGCGTCGCCGAGGTAGAACGTGTCCGTGTCGTAGTCGTTCACGGGCTTGTTGAGTTGGAAGCGCCGCACCAGGTCCGGGTTCGAGATGAAGTGGCGGCCGATGGCCACGGCGTCGGCCGCGCCCTCCTCCACGATCTGCACGGCCGACTGCCGGTCGAAGCCCGACGCGGCGAGGAGCACGCCCTTGTACGTCTCGCGGAACTGCCGCGCCGAGCCCTTCTCGGGTGCCAGCGGGTTGCGCACGTGGTAGCCACGCGGCTCGATCAGGTGCGCGTAGGCCAGGTCGTAGTTCTTGAGCCTGTTCAGCACGTACGTGTAGGGGTTCGTAGGGAAGAAGCTGCGCTTGTCGAAGCCAGACGCCAGCAAGACCGCGAGGATGCAAAACAACACATTGAGGCCGTGGAAAAGAAAGAGGAAGTAGCTCGAGCGGAGCGTCGAGGAGAAGAGGCCGAGCGTCGCCGACAGTTCCAAGCCCGCCTTGAGCAAGACCGTGCCGAAGCGCGGCAGCGCCACGAGCAAATGATGCTACTGATCTCGACGATTCACAAGAACAAGTAGTATACAGCAAGATGTGTGTGCAGGAAGGAAGACGTAGTGTATTCAAGTTGCATTATGCACATAAACAAACTCAACTCACTCTTGTGTATCTCCTATCGTCCTCGCCATGAATGAATGTGGTTCGTATCTCACTAATGCCGACGGTTCTCACTCTGTAGTTAGTAAGCCTGAAAATGTTGTCCAAACGCTGCTACCGTTTGCTGCGGTCGTACGGCAACGGCATCAGCAGCCGATGGTAGACCTTCTCGATAGACCCCATACCCCACTCAGCACTCTGTCTAATCGACGTTATTGCCCCTGATAAAGCCTTCGCCGCCGCCCGAACAGAAGGCACCAGTGTACTTGCATCTCCGTCTTTCAGCGGGGTCATGATCCTGCCGATCATGTCACCACTGCAAGGGAAAGCACTGTCTGCTACAACCCCATATCGATCGTCAGGATTAGTTCCGCGACACCAGCTTCCGCCTGAACTCTAGGCTGGTATCGCCATCGTTCCAGGACCCTGGACAGTTATGTTTAGCCCACACGATGAGCCCGTCCGCTGAGAAGCATAGCGTGCCGGTGACGAACACGCCATGTAGCCAACCGTTGTAGTGAGCATTCTGGATGTCTCTATCTGGAGGCTGCTGCACCTGTAAAGTAAAAGTATGATACGTAGATGGTAAGAACACGAACAATGATACAATACAATCACATCTTGACGAAAGTACCTTGTAGTTTTTCCCATCCAAAAAGCCCCATGTGAACTGCAGCATGGGTTGCTTTGCTGCCACTAGACGAGCTAAAGCTTTCTGCCTGGCGAACGTAGGCCATACAATCCGAGCGGGCGCAAACCCTCGGAGCGCCGCTGTAAGAGCGTCTTCAGCTGCAGTTAGCACGCGGGTAAGCGTCGTCGGGGGGACGCCAAACATGAGACACAGGCGCCCTCGATACTCACAGCCTACGTAGAAAGCTAGAAGCAAGCCCAACACCTGATGGTGGTGTTGGAGCTTTCGAGGCCGCCCCCCTTTCGAGTAGAAGATGGGAATCTCGTAATGAGGCGCAAAGCGAGATAGTAGAAGGTGTAACGAGGCCCTACATGTCAAGCTATAACGGCAAACAACAGTTAGAAACCAACTACACACTTAAATGCTGCATGTCGCCCTTACCGAGACAGGCTCGTCACATTTATCATATTCTCGTCGGTTCCTTTGAGCCAGGTGTCCATCCAAGAAGACTGCTCAGGCTCCTTTAGGCAGTCCAGGGTGATGTAATGGCGCATTCGAGCGAGCCGCTGCCACTCCCAGCGCCTGCGCTCGTCGTGCAGCCGGCGTCTCAAGTCTCGGAGCGTCTCGAGGGAGCGATGACGCGTCTGGGACGACGCACAGAGCATCAGCAGAAAGCTCGTATCCGGGCGAGACATTGTGCTGGAAGAAGCGCGAGAGAATGCGAGGGTGGGGGGCAAATGACTCGGTTGCTCGGAGAGGGTCGACGCGACGTTTCCCGCCGAGCGAGATCTTTACAATTAGAGATATTTTGTGAAAATTTGTCCATCCTCGGATTGTCTCCTTTCGACCTACATAATGAGATTAAGGTATTCATACTTCAAGCGGCAAAGGTCGCCGGACACAGATAACTTTTAATGGTGGTTTTGGCCTTGGTGTTTATCACCTTCGATTTGCAGACGTTTGGTCCGGCGAGTAATGCGCCTAGTCGGGTGATCAGAATTCTTCGATTAAACTTTTTTATCTAGGTTTTGGTAGGCGCCCACTAGCGCACGAATCCCCCACGACAGGGGGCCAGTAGGCCCATAGCAGGTAGTCCGGCACGTGTCCTCTACTGATGGTGAAGCCCGAGAACAGAGTGAACAGAAGCAGCGAGAGGTTCGCGATGGGGGTCGCCACGTTCATGTTGGGAGATGCAGCTGCCAGGAAGAAGAACCACGATACTATTCGCCGAATAGCATGCACGTGAGGAAGAGGATCAACTCGAACAGCAAGTAGGTAGAGTAGCCAGCTGCAATCAGCACATCCAATGCATGATGGAGCCGAAGACCAGCGCTTCCAGCAGCGCGAGGGGGACTTGGCTCACGGACGTAGCGAGGACGAACGACGAGGTGCGGTAGAAGTTGGCGCCTCGCTGCTTGTTGAAGACTTCTCGCGTCGCCATGAACGTCGGCACTTGCGCCGACTGGCCGAGCATGACGAAGTTGATGGACACGTACAAGATGCCCATGACCACCTGCGCGTCTGTCTCATCGAACTGGCAGAAGGTGCTCGCGTTCAGCAGCCCCAGGAAGATCGCCATGAGGAGCCTGCTCTTCAGCAACGCCTTGTTCCGCATTGTTATCTTCATCTGACGCCGGATGAGTGTGGCTGTTCCTTGCCAGAAGCTCTGACGAAACGCCGGAAGCGAGTCCACGTAGTGCTTGCTATCTTCGACCAGATGGGAGGCGAGAGGCGCGTCCAGGTCCTCTACCGTGCGCTGGTAGATGTCTGACTGCTCGAATGCCTCTGCGAATTGGCTGGCAGTCACAGGAGGAGCCCCGACCTCGTACTGGCATTGCTTATTGGTCCCCAGGCCCAGCAAGAAGTCCGCCACGTCTCAATCTTGGGGGCACTTGAAGCCCAAGCTCTCAAAGTAGGCCAACGCCCGCTGTCGAGGACAGTGATACATGACGTAGCCATCGTTCAGCAGAATGACTTGGTCGAAGAGCTCGAAAACCTCTGGAGGAGGCTGCAGCAGGGAAATCACCACAGTCTTGCGGAACTTTTTAGCGAGACTACGCTGGGTCGAGACGATGTCGAAGGTTGCAGCGCTGTCCAGCCCTGTACTGATCTCGTCCAACACCAGCACGTTCTTGCTGCCAAACGCCATCTCCCCTGTCGTCACGCGCTTCCGCTCGCCGCCGGACACGCCACGCAGCATGGCGTTCCTCACGATCGTGTCTTGACAGTTCTCCAGCCCCAACCGCCGAATGATCACGTCCGGGTGGTGCTTGTACATCGCTTTAGCAGCCTCCAACGCCGCTGCATTCTCTTCGCTTGTTTCATGTACGAACTGCTCTTCGTCACGTGTTGACAGCCCCCCGTCGTTACATTCGTGCGCGAATTCCAGCGTCTCCTTCACTGTGAGAGTCGGGAAGTGCTTGTCTTGCTGGTCGACGTATGGCACGAGCTGGGGCAGGCGACGACGAAGTTCGTCTTGCGACTTGCCGTTGTACGTCACCTCGCCGTCCTCGTCGAGACGGTTGTCAACTGGAAATCTCCCGCTCAGGACCTTCATGAGCGACGACTTACCGGACCCAGGCTGGCCGAGAATGAGCGTCATGGAGCCTGGCTTGAGCACGCCACTCACTCCACGTAGAATCTTCTTCTCGACCGTGTGCTTCTTGGAGCTCATGCGCATGAGTGACAGTTTAAGTGTGTTGGCGATCGTCGGCAGCCCCGACGTCGTCTCCATGTCGTCCTTCAATACAGTTTGCGCCGATATAGTCACGCCCGGTAGCGCACTTCCACCTGCGGCATGGGCCTCCCGATTGCAGCTTCAATGCGTGTGGCCAAATGCTCAGTAGAGCCACTTGCCATCAGTGATTCGCCGCTGTCGTAGCCGATATGTGGCGCGTCCATTGCCTTCTTCTCCCGCTCACATCGGAAGAAACCATGGCGGAGTCTTGACGCTTGCAGAGGACGGAGCGAGCTGGGGATCTTGTTACTAGTGCAAAAGTAGAAATGACCAAGGACAAACGGAGCTTGGAGAGAATCAATCAAGAAGGCGACAAGTTGAAGTGACTGGCCAATGAAAAGCTTACCAACTCCACCCACTTTTGACACTTGATCTGCATAATCGACTGGAGACAAGTGTCGCCCTCTTTCTCTCGTGCGGCCCGTATAATTTTGCAGGGGGTCGTTGCACCGCTTACGCATTGCGTTTTGCTAACCTTCTGGCCCGCTTGGTCGTCGTTCTTCGGTGTTGCGTGAAGTGGGGAGAGCGGCAACCGTAGCGTGAGTGGTGAATCACCACTGGTGATGTGGTGATGTCAATGTAAACTAAGTCTCTAGCCACTCCACACACGTTGCTGTTGTAAGTTTTCAACTTGTAACCTAATTACAACAACAACAAAACTCTTCCGTTGATCGCTCGTTGGTTGTGGCCGTAGAGTCGATGAACGTATAGTATAGCTCGGGGGACGAACAGTTCGTCGCGGATCAGAATCACGCTAAATAGATTCTTCGAAGTAAATGCTTGTTTGAATAAGATGAGAGCTTTTTCACGGTAATTTGAGTTCAGACCGAAAGTAATATTTCTGTGAGGTTCGATACACGAGAATGTAAATACAACTGACTCGGACGGTAATGCTCAGGCCTCCACAAGTAGAAAAATCTCTCAGCAACGGATCCTCCATACTAATGTAATGTATTACGTTTTCGCGTTGCCACACTATAACCTCCATACTACACATGTTTTAATATTCTCGTAAAGGTACACATTGAAAAATCCGTATACTTTACTGCGCAAAAAGCTTCGTCTCACAAACAAGCGAATGGAGGACGATCACTGGCACTTCCTGCTGTCCTGGTGCCAGCACCTCTCCTGGCGTCTGCAGTATGTGAAAGGGGCGCTCGAAGACGACCCAGAGCTGCGCTTCCGTGGTATCGAGGTGGAATTGCCAACTTTCGGCCCCTACAGCGACGACGAGGGGCAGGAAGAAGAAGCTGAAGACGATGGCAAAAGTCCGTGTCAAGACCTCCGAGAGGCTCTGGCGCTGCTATCAGCTGTGGCACACGTCGACAATGCAGCTTGGAAGAAGCTCCTAATCGACCATGTAAAACTGAGCGTCAACAGCCAAGAGGAACTATTCGAGGAGGGGGAATTCCCACCCCGATTCCAGCTTGCACTGGTCGGCGGCGGACCTGACGGCGACGGGGAGCTGTTGAGGGGCATCACTGACTTCTGCGGGACACAGCAGTACACCGCCCAAAGTGATAAATACAGGGAAGCTCTGGCTGCAGTTGCAGCTCTGAACGGCGAGAAATCGTGCACGGGGTCGACGGAGATCGAGGTCCCGATCACGGTGCAGTTGGGGCCGTGGCTGACGAACAGCAGCGGCGAAATGTTCGCTTATCTCCGGAGGGTGCAGGAGACGGTTAGGAACATTCGCACGCAATGGCAACAGGGCTTGGATCGGACGCAAGGTCCTCTGAGTGTGGCGTTCGTCTTGGAGTCGATTAGGGTGGATCTACGGGACGTCAGTATCAGTGCCGAGTTGGAGGAGCTAGTGGAAAGCCTGCCGAAAGATGGCGTCCGAGTGTCGGCTTTCGCGTTGAGGCATGAACTCAGTCAGGAGTTGACATCGAATGGCAGCTTAGCAGAAGCTCGTAAAGTTGTCAGCAGACTCACGTTTGGACTGTTTGGCGACGCAAAGAAGCTAAGTGGGTGGGAACATTTTGACTTTGAAGCGACCAGCATGACTGGGCCTTTAGTGGCCGAGTACGGACACGCACAGCAGCTCGCTCTCAGCTCTTTGAATTTTGATAGTGAGGCTATGCAGAACTGGGTCTTCGACCGCATTTGCTCGGCTATTGCGGTTAGCCAGACGACGAAGCATCTCTCGTTGGACCTGGAGCTTGCAGACGGAGAGGACGACGACGATGGAGACTGGGCGCTTTGTCGCTGGAGGTGGCAGTGGATCGTCTTTGCCTGCTTCTCGGAGAAAGCGCGCCTCCATTCGCGGCTCGAAAGCCTCACGCTTCGCAACGCTGTAATTACGACTGAAGCGGTGGAGGCCATGGCGGAGGTGCTAGCGTCTGATGCACCAGAGGAGACTCTGCTAGGCATTGCATCTCAACCGTCTGATCCAGCAATGGACATTTGCATCAAGGCTAACTTCCCTATTAAGTTGCTGCCAATGTTGGGAGCGAAGTCTTCGAAAGGAGCAATTCATTCACGCTGGAGAGAGAGATCAGTGGCGTGAGAATATTATTCAAAGATGGCAAGAGCGATTGGACAGACGTCTTGGTACCTGGGTTTGGCAAGTGCCAGGTGCAGCGCTCTAGTCTAGTCACCAGAGAACTCACTCTTCCATCCAACGGACTTGCTGGTGTCACGACGTTGGCGATCAAATTTGGCGAAGACCGGGACCTCGAAGTTTGCAAGGCTTGCTTCTTCTCATCGGCGCTTCGCTGACGCATCTTACGCTCGAGTTTGAGGACTTTAACACGAGCGAGCTGGAAGGGATCGTAGCGAGCTGCCCGAATCTGGTCGAACTAGCGGTGTGCACTCACACCATCGAGCTGCGCTTCTGTCTGCGCGACATCAATTACCGAGACTTGGCGCTGGACCCCGACTCGCACGTCTCTTTGTGGTGGGGCATCGAACAACTCGCTGAAGTTCTTTGCGACTCTGAGAATCCGCTCACAAAGTGCGCTCGACGTCTGCGCGTTCGCATGGACCAGAGGTCCGTAGCCCATTCGTACGACGAATGCTACGCTGCGCTGTTGAAGATGCTGGAAATGAACCGCACGTTGGAGTATCTGGATATTGTGGCGCAGCGCTCGCACATGACGCACTACAACGAGTTCAAGGCGCACCACCTCGAGTCACTTCCGTTGGTGCGGACAGTTCTCTCTATGGATTGCAAGGCTGCGTTTTTGAGCGTCATGGTGGCCGGGTATGGGGGCATTGCCGATAACAAGCGAAGGAAACAACCATCACCGCTGCCGTCGCTTGACCAGCATGTTATTGTCTGCATTTTCGACTTTGCAGCGCCATCCGTGACGCGTCGAGTGTACTTCCGAGAGTACGATTTCTTCGAGACTGCGCGTCACTACGTGCCGATTTGATCTCTGTACTACAGTACTACAGAGTCTGTAGAGAAATTTGGGAACTGTATTGAAGTGCCGAAGTACTATCTGTCTGTAAATGTGCAATCAAAAGAATTTGTCGACCGCTGCAGACTAAAGCTGTGTGTCTATCGCTTCTGATAGTTCACGTAGCGCAGTGCAAGGAGCGACAGCAGACGAAGGCCCACGATCCATGCAAGCATGATGCGAAGTTGCTCCAGATCTGATCGTGGTGCGGCCTCCACGTACTCTTTCACCGTGATCCCATCGGGGAGGCGTGCCCGTCATCTGCCAACAGCCGCGTGCGCGGCCGTCTCCATTTGTCCGAAGACTATGGAGCAAAGCTGTACTTGGTAGGTATATCGGCGATCGTGCTGCTGGAAGCCTACTTCGGACAGTTTTTGGCCTACTTGCAGCCGAGCTTGGATGGGGGTCGTGATCATCAACAACTTTATGATCTTGTTCTGAACATGATGAACGGGATGGAGCTGGTCGGCGGGTGACTGTACAACCTCACTATGCTACGGAGCGTTCTGGTACTTTGTGGGGGAGACGCTGGTGGAGACCCTGTACTGCTTCGCCTATTGCTTCCTTCTTCCTCGCTGTCTTCTAACCCGATGGTGGGCTTCACTGGTGCTCCAGAGCTCTTCACGCACCTGTCAACCAGAAATCCCCCGTATAGGATCTTCACAAGCGAAGACTTGCCGGATCCAGGATGACTGAGGACGAGCGTTATCGTGCGTGGCTTGAGCATGCCGCTCACTCCACGGAGAATCTTCTTCTCGACCGTGTGCTTCGTGACACACATGTGCATGAATGTCAGTTTGAGCGTGTGGCGGTCGTGGGCAGCCCCGATGTCGTCTCCGTGTCGTCCTTCAATACAGTTTGCGCTGATATAGTCACGTCCCGGTAGCACACTTCCATCTGCGGCATGGACCCCCCGCTTGCAGCTTCAATGCGTGTGGCCTCGTGCTCATAATATGAACACACTGCTCTACAATATAGAGCAGTGGAACCACTCACCACTATCGTAGTCGATGTGTGGGGCGTCCATTTCCTTCTTGTCTCCATCCGCACCGTAAGGAACCATGGCGACGTCTTGACGCTTGCAGAGGACGGGCAAGTTGGGGTTTTTGTTACTTGTAATAAACAGAAGTTGAAATAAGCAAGGACACAAGTGAACTTCGAGAGAATCAAGAAGACGACAAGTGGGAGTGCAATGAAAATCTTCCTAACTCCACCCACTTTTGACACTGATCTGCATAGCGCATGCACTGCTTCATCGTCCGCTATCGAAAATTCACTTGTAGAGAGCCCCCTTAATTATACTGTAAAAAGGGGTATTAATCTCGCATCGTCCACAGCAGACGAATTGTTGTACAATTCCCACCGCAAACAAGCCCTCTTACTGTACTCTCTTTCGGCCCCTATAATAACATTGGACGCCTACCAAAAACGAACAAATCACCCAACATATTTAAATTTAAGAAAACTTATATTTACTCAGACGATTTTTACGTCTGAGTAAACGAAGGGTCGCTGCATAGCAGCGTATTAGATTTGACTTGCTTTCAGTATTGACGTCCTTTTCTAGCAACTAACGCATATATCAGGCGACCTCTCACATATTTCGACCTCTGCACATTTGATATTTAGAGACAAATTTAGAGATGCATTCTATGTCGAGTAATATCCGTTTTTGGTAGGCACCCATTGTAGGAGGCCGTTGCACCGCTTATGCCTTGGACAATAACCAGCTCCCATTCACCATAATATCCAGATCAAACGAAATGATGTACGAACCATTTGGAGTTTTCGAGATAATCGCGTTTGAAGTTGACCAATCAAATTTCGTACCTAACCGGACATCAAAAATTTAAAGTGAAAATTACTCGTAGAAAGCGGAAAACACTCTAATTCGCTTGGTTTTAGCACGAACTTTCCGATAATGTACAGCATTAAAAAATCGGAGAAAAAATGAGATCACACGCCCCATATAAAATCCGGTATTTCGGGGGTCCGAAAAAGGAGATACTTTTTTAGACCAGTGTCACTCCTCGAGTTCTCAACATTTTCGAGTGCTCAATAGCTAAAAGAAGCACAAAACACCGTTCTTTCGATATATGCGGTTAAATCGCGATTCGTACTTAGGTTCGTAAGCGTCATTTCGTTTGACGCGGTCTCATTTTATCCACGCCGCAGTTCCCCTAATTGCTGTGTTATAATATAATACAGTTGAAACCGGGCCAAACAAAATTATGCTTACAAACCTAGGCCTTAACCGCATTTGTCAATACGACCTATTAAATATGTTGTGGTTTCTATACAATTATGGTGTTGATTAAATAATCATTATGTTTAAATAATATTTCGCTGCGAAAATAATATTTGCCAAGCTGGCGAGACGCTCTATATCTAAGAGCAAGACTTTATGATTAAGCAGATAAACCGAAAACGTGCTAGGTTTCGTTACTTCCACTTAGACTTGACTACCTTGGAGTTCTGTGTTGCGCGCACTGTCCATTTATGGTAAGCGCGTTGTTGGTGCAGCCCTGAACGGTGGAAACAGGGCGACCGTCGTGTTTCTAGCCCATCTACTTACCAAATGCCTGACTGATGCAGCCCTCGACGTGGCAGAAGCCCGTGATGGGGAAGTGCACTCTTGCGAAGCCTTTCATTTGGGCTTTGCTGGAGCACCCGTCGGCCTTGCATCCGTCGCCCTTGTGCATGAAGAACAGGCCTGGGGACCGAGAAACCCAAGTGCATGATGGACGGATGCGGTCTTGGCGCAGCCCTTGGACTTGCAAAGTTGTTGCGGCGCGTGCGTACTGCCCATCCCGCCCCTGACAATGTGCTTCTCGCAACCCTCGGCCTTGCATCTTAGACCGCTAGGTGGGTGTAGCACAGCCCCCTGAGTCTTGAATTCTTGTTGCAGTCGTCGACGGAGCACTTGGGGCGCGTGTGTTGGTAGCAGTAGAAACTCAATTGTGCGGGTTCGTACAGCGCTCTTGCTTGCACCTCCGAACTTCACTCGGTTTGCCTTCAATCTGTATGAGTTGGAGAAGGTCGTCGCCAAGATTGTCTATCTCACTGGCGGCATCTGATGCCATGAAATTGGCATTTCTTCACGACTAACTGCCTGGGCACCACCAGCCACTTGAGCACTTCCAGAAGCTTGGGGACTACGACTTCCACCGACACCAAAAGCTTGAAGACATCCAGCACCGCCAAAATCTTGCACTCTTCCAGCACCGCCAAAATCTTGCACTCTTCCAGCACCACCAAAAGCTTGGACTCCCCCAGCACCAGAAAAGGCTTGAAGGCATCCAGCGCCAGAAAAGCCGTGAGCTACGCCACCGACACCAAAAGGTTGGACACCTCCAGCTTCAGAAAAGAACACGCTCTCATCGAATAGGTCAAAGAGCTCGTCCTGAATCCCAAAAAGCTGCTTCTCCAGAGGTGTCAGGTAATTGTCTTGAATCGTAGCAATCTTGAGCCGTTTGACGCGTTCTTCCTCCTCCAGCGGCTTGATCCGGACGCGTATTTCGTGCTCGTCCTTCTCCAGCTTATTGATCTTGACAGCCTTTTCGATGGCCTATTTTGTCTTGACCTTGTTGTACTCTTGGAGCTGCCCCGCCTCCAGTATCTCCTTGGATGGCGCGGGATATTCTTGAGCACTTGGTACCGGCGCCTTCTCTTTGAGCTCGAGCAGGCCGGCCGCTTGCACGCTTCCAGGATCGGAAGCAAGCTCCTCTTGTCCCGCAGGGAGCCATATTGTAGATGTCGTCGCCGGTCTGCATCATACCCATTCTCCAGATAGTTTTCAAAGCTCACGGTCTACATACATCAACCGTTAGCCCGATGGTCATAATATATATATATATATATATATATATATACACTAGCAAAATAAAAATTTGGACATATTACACTTGTTAAATTCAGGCGAGCGGACATACAGGATATCTTCTGGGTTGCTCTCGGTCTTGTAGGCCGCATCAGAGTAGCAGGCGGATCCTATTACACGCCGAACATCAGACCACGACTCTTATAGAGCCCCATACAAATACAAACATAAATAACACTCACCAAACCGAACAAGATCCATATCGAAGATCTCAATTTTGCATTATCATGATCTTAGCGCTGAACCGGAAGATGACCCCAGCTGCCAACACTTTCTTGGTGATGCCGGGGTACTCGCCCGTCACGGTGGCGTCCAGGTACACAACCACGTAGACCACGGTCTTGCGAGCCTCGATGAGGGCTTCCACGCTATCGTCGAGGCTAAACACGAATACAGACACAAGACACACAAACTTGGTACTCTATCTAGACAATACGCAAAGTGGCATATCCCATTAGCAAGCACGTAGTAAAAACACATAAAATACACAACCAGCACACAACGAACCGTTTTGAGCATGATCCGGTCGGCTAATGCCACCCGGTTCCGGTCCGGTATGTGCGTTTTCAGCCACTTGAGCAGCCGGATGTCCTTGTCGAACGGGAGGTCATGGGGGGGGGGGGCGGAGATGCTCAGGCCAGCGACTGAAGTGCGTGTAGTCACCACAGATTGCCTGTGTAGTCGTCGCATATTGCCTCCACTATATCTCGCTCCACGTCGAACTCGACAGCAGCTCCGTCGATGTCATAGTGGAGCTCCCCGTCGATGGGGCTCTCCTTCTGGTTGGCCGGGTCGTCCAGCTACAGCATTATCTATATATCGACACAATAATGAGTTAACTCAAAACACACAAACATACATGTAAGCTCCACGCAAATTAACACACCGCACCTGAAATTCCAGCAACAGGGCGGACTGCCACCCGTCGATGATGCGCGGGGCGTTGCCGGTGCCCATGTCGACGGCGATGGGCCTCTCTGGAGCCCGGGGTCCTTGGGCTGCTGCGCGTAGTGGATGGAAGGGGAGCTCTTGGAGCTCGCGAGGCAGCTCCATAGAGCCTAAGGCTCCCACATCAAGCGCATACGCCGCTGCGACGGCCTTGTTGGTGTCCGACATGTTGCGGAACTTGCAAATGTGCTTGGGCCACCGCTGAGTGCGGAACGGAGTGATGGTCGAAGTGTTGAAGTCTAAGTTGAAGTTGATGACAAATGAAATCCCTCGACTTAGTGTCATCCTCGCAATAATGCCTACGAACCCGTTTGTGTGCCATTGAGACTTGGCTCTCGACAACTATGCTGGTGGGGCGCTCGTTCGTACGAAGGCCCGACACGTAGCTAGCATACTTGGCAGAACAGGGGTGTAGTACCGACTTTATTTAGTTATAATGGGGGGTGGTACATTTTTGGGTGAGTGCTTCCTGCAGCAGACGGCCCAAGTCAACAACTCAGGCACTCCAGTAAATTACTATCAACTTTTCACTTACCTACATATATTACGAAATTTATTTCTGCCTACGGATCAAAGTCATTGTCTGGATCGATGATGCCAACTTCCGTATCCAGAAGTCCTGCAGCCTGGAGCAATGCAAACACGTCTTCCCCCTCGTCGTCCTCTAGTAGAGAAGGCAGCTCACACTGCTGACCAATCGTGGGCTTGTCAATAATCCCTGCTTCACGGAACCCGTTGCAAATGGTAGGCGTTGTCATGTCATTCTACGTCTCGCTCATCCACCGAGCCATCAATACACGATCTGGGGCTCTCATATTGAACGGCTGACCAGGTACCCGGCGGCAAAGTTGCTCACGAATAGACTTGATCCCTATTCTACGTAGCCTATCCTTCAGCGGCTTCATCCACGCGATGTCCGCCGGCTGACAAGCGGACGTGCAGTTTGGCGGCACCTTCTCCAAAACCACATTTATGCTTTTTGCATATGAGGCGACTTCAGCGGTCCAATGTCCGCTGAAGTCGTCCCATAAAAGCAAAATTCATCGCGATTGCCGCGATTACCGAAATAGTGCCGCAAAAATACCATAGCCAGCTCCGAATTGAACCAGCCCTTGGCGTTGCAATGAATCGACATTCCGGTTGAGGTTTGTACGGGCTCCATCTCTTGCCACATTCCAACACTGAATCCGTTGCGCTCGCACTTATTTTCCAGCGCCATCGCAGGCAGTGTGGACGGGCTGCACTTGTAGACAAGCATCGGTGGGTACTTAGTGTCGTTCGAGTCTGCCAGCAACATGGCGGTCAACCGCTGCTTCTCCTTGCCACCACCACGCACCCAAACAGTTTTTTTGCCGCGCTTGTGAAGGGTCTTTTTGGGCAGGTACTCATAAAATACTGCTGTTTGATCAGCATTATAGACCTTCGAGACCCCCAACTCGGCCATTTTGCTCTTGATTCTGACTGCAAAGTCGGCTGCAATTTTTTTGCGTCGTCAGGCGCGACTTGACCTTGGCGAGTTCGGCACCTCAACGACAGGCGATGCCGCTTGCGAAACAGTTTTTGCCATGATGGACTAGCCGCAAATTTGTCCACGTGATATTCTTTTGCAATTTCCAAAGCTTGGAGCTGAAGCATGACACTTGTGACGGGAACACCTTCATTTCTTAGCTCATTTACCCATCTAGTACACGCAATAAAAAATAAAAATAATTTTAGCATAAACCAAAGAAATAATGAATGTGATGAAAGCAGCACACTTACTCTACCAGTTCTAACTCCGCTGCCATAGGTAGCGATGTTGCGACGCCAGATGATCGATTCTTCTTCTTAACGGCAGTCGTAGCCGTCTTACAGCCTTCTTCGATGATGGCGCGGTTCTGTTTCCACTGGTACACCTGGTTCTCCGACGTCTTCTGCTTGGCGACGTGGCTGAAGAAGCGCTGGAGCGTTGACTTGATGCCATGCGTCTCGTACCATTTGATCACCTCCAGCTTCTCGCTGTTGCTGACGGCGGAGCGGCTAGTGTAGTAGTAAAGCAAAGTGGATGTTGTGAACGAAGTACAAAAGTAAATTTCCGGCGTGCAGTTTGAATGACCAAGATAAGTTGTGTATAGTGCTACGACTTTATCTGCATAATTGACCATTGTTCTTCTTAGCTTAGGCATGTTTCGCTAGCTTTCGTGATACTTCTTAAGCCAAGTCCGTCTCGCGAACTTCGTCGACACCGGCGAGCTCCACTTCGGCAGGATCCACCGCTTTGCTGCTTAGCACTGACTTGGCCTCCGGGTCTTCCCCTCCGTGAGCTTGCTGGCGCTTACGCAAGTTATCCAGCGTCGTGGCCGACGGCGCGTACAAGTAGCACAGCGTGTACACGTAGACGTTGAAAATGGTTTGGAGCGAGGTCCACGCGCCTCCGCTGGACGGGGTCGGAGAGAACGCTCCGTTGGCCAGACCCGAGAACGAGGCGATGATCATCAACAGACTCAGCCCCACCAAGTACCGGTAGCGCATACGGCGAGCTCGGATCTCCTTGACGCTCATAACGATCAAGATGCAGTACCACACGATAAACGCAGCGCTGAGAAGCCCACACAACACCTTAAGCAGAGCGAAGTTGCTGTTCTCGGCCAGGGGGTCCCACGTGACGTCGTTGTTGCGGTTGTACTTGATGTAGCCGTAGTAAATGGTCATGATGAGCCAGAAGAAGGCCACGAAGAGGAGCTTCGGCGCGAAGAAGCGAGTATTGGACACACCGTTCTCCTTGCCTTGCAGGCGCAGGTTGTCGATCGAGACCAGCCAGAAGAGCAGCAGCATCTGGAAGAAGGTCACCTGGAAGCCCACGCTGAGGATGCGAGCCGCGTTGCTGCCGTACCTCGCCTCGGCCGCGTAGAACGGGTCGTTGAACAGAATCAGCGACAGAACCAGCGCCATGACGAAGCCCTGCTCGACGTTCTGCTCGCGTGACGACAGCTTGTTGACGCTGAAGATGTACCAGCCAGCGAAGATCGCCGAGAGGAAGAGGAAGAAGAGCTTCATGCCGATGAGCCAGTTGGTGAACGCCTCCGTGCCCCAAGTCTTGCGGAACTGGACGTTTGAGCCGTTCAGGGCCAAGTTCTCGGTGGAGTTCAACAGCACGTCCACCTGGTAGTCGTTGAAGTCGATGTCTCCGAAGCGCAGGAAGTAGGCGGCATCGCAGTACGCCTCGCCCTCCTCACACTCGACCGTGACGGTCTTCTGGACGACGTTGGTGATGATGTCGGCGTACGTCTGGTTGCCGCTGGTCTCGTTGAGGTAGAAGCCCTTGACGTGTGGAGTCATGGTGACGTCGAAAGACCGCGCGGTCTTCTGCAGGTTCGGGAACGCGGCCTCCAGGTAGAAGTAGCGGTTGAGCTGCGTGAACCCGTTGAGGCCGAACGTGTAGTGGACCACGTGCAGACTCTGCTCGGTGCTCGCGAACGGCCGGTTCGTGCGGTTCGTGCACGCGTCGAACATGCAGCTCAGCACCGACCGCTGCTCATTAGTAGACAGACTCAGGACCTCGTCGATAGCGGACACTGTTCCATTCGCGTCCGTGTCCTCGACGGTCGTCGTGCTGTTAGTGGAGTTGAGGCATTCGTTGTACAAGCTGATGGAGAAGTCGGACGTGCAGCGCGTGGGGATGCTGGTCCAGTCGGAATTGGCCACCGCTGGCGAACCGCTGAAGCCGATGAGCACGAAGAGAGCGAGGAACGTGACTGCGATGCCCGACACGAGCAGCAGCTTCAGCATGGAAATGACCTCGATCCGCATGAAGCTGCCGTCCTCGCCCCGCTCCGCAGGTTTCGACTTCATTGTTTCTTTGGTTACTTCGCCTTGTTGGGCGATAGAAAACTTCGAGTCGTTGGAAAAGCGAAAATGGCGTCGAGACTGCACGCCTGCGATGGTGATCAACTAAATAAAAATATTTGTCCGTTTTTCTCCTTCCTCACTTGTTGAAACCCCTGCGCCGATGCCCTTCAGGCAACAGTCCCAGTACCGCTACTTGAAGTCTAAGTCTAGTTGGTCGATGCATTGCGCTAACAGCCTGAAACGAATACGTGTTGCGGAAGCCTAGATATTCATGATGCTGCTCACTCAGGCACGAACAAGCGTCTTGGCCTAGACCATCGCAGTGCTCACAGCCACTGCTGCCGCCCAACTTGCGTTCGGAGCTTCTGGAGGATCTGGAGGCGCCTCAAGTGGAGCTACTCAACCGCTTCGGCTGAAAGTCCGTCCTCGCTTCTCGTCATGATGTCCAGCTCCAGTTGGATTCCCTGCGCCACCACTTTCTTGAGTTCGACTTCGTCTGCCATGGATGGTTTTGCTCGTTGTTGAGAACCGTCAACGTCCCGTCGTGGCTTCACCCGCCGATCTTCAGCTCCTTCTGCGTCCTCACGTCTCGATTTTGCTCGCGACTGTCGAGCACTCACTTTCTCGACTGAAACCGCGTGCTGTATGATCCGAGGGCTCAAAACGTTCTGCCACTTCTCGTGGTTCACGAGCTCCCAGGCCGAATCCCAGTCCCCGAACCTCTTGTTCTTGGCACGGACCGCAGCCTTCGCACACTTGAAAGCCTCTTTCCGACGCGACAACGCGTACCGGAGGTTGATTTGGCACTTGCTCCACTTCTCCATGAACAGCGTTAGGAACTCGACCAAGTGTGGGTGCATCTCCTCCCACTGCACCCGAAGCCCCTCAGCCGTCTTAAGCCGTCCAGTCAATGGCAAGTTGTCGGCGTAGTCGGATTGAATCTTGGTCCAGAATTCTTGCGAGTCTTGTGCCTCATGAGTCAAAGCCGCGGCGATCCATGCACTGGTGAGAGCCAACCGCTCCTCGGGATTGAAGTGTGCTGCAGCAGTCGTGGAGGTCGTAGTAAGAGTCGAGGAATTGGGGTCCACTTGGTTCGAGTATGGGGACAACTCGCAGCTGAAAGCCTCGTGTGGAGTTTGAGTTCCGCGCACCAATCCTCAACCTCCGTCTTCATCGTCTTTGACGTGTTGCCTCCGTGCCGTAAGTTTTGAAGTGAATGGCAGCAGGAGGCGAAAGGGAAGAAGGTGATTTCTTTTTAGTGGGACGAAGTAACGTGGGTGACGTGTTTAGCGTTGAGCTCAGGTCCGGCGATTTCGCCATGAAGTGGTTGAATGCCAGCCGCGAGTTTGAAAACAAAAACGAAAAAAAATCACGTGCCAAGGTTCCTGGCAGTTCCAATCAAGAAGTTTATATAACGTAAGAGCGCGCAAAGTACAATAGTGACAGCTTATCTAGTGATATAGTACATGCATTGTGGCTTTCATCCGTTTTGGCAAATCGGGTGGTCCAAGATCCGATATATCGGGCCCGATTTGCTGGAGGGCTCACATTTAGTAGGAAGGGTTGAGGGAAGCAAACTATATCTGACCCGATTTGCGTCGAGTTGCGAAGTAGGGGCCAGAAATGCCGCTTTTCGCCGGCAAAAGGGACCGCCGCGAAAGCATGTCTGGGGCCTCTCAGATCGGCGGGGCACGAAGTTGCAGCGGCCGTAGATGATCACACAGGTAATTTAGCTGGCCATAGTGCTATGAAGTGGCTATATACAGTGCACTATTGTCCCCAACGTATTGCAGTTCTAATGCGTCATGAGAGGTGGGGAGGTATGGCCAACTTGAAATGCCTTCCCTCTGAGCCTTATGCTACTAACCGATCATGTAGAAGCTCCATTTTATATAAATCGGACTCCGAGATAACACGTCAAATCGGGCGGCAAAATTGTTGAAAACCACAATAACCGCGGGCGATATCTCCCGTGAGTCACGGGAGATATCGCCCGCGGTATTACCGGCCGTGAGTGATTTTGTTCCCCGAGTGAATTGTCTGTACACCTCGATAACGATTCGTTGGACGCGGCAGTCCTCGCTGAGAGTTGTTGCTGCTCCAGACTGGGAACACCTGGTTTCGGTCTGTACACCTTCACCTAGCTAGCCCTAATTGCCGTTTTGCATCCGACCAGCGTATAGCGTATATGGCTGGCCGATAAGAATAGTTTCGAAACGGAGCGCGAGGGGCGCAAGGAGCGCAAGGAGCGCAGCGGAGCAAATGGGGCGGATTGCAGGAGACCGGGCTGCATCATCGGGCGGCGTCGGCAAGGATTGAATGTGGCGCTCCGGAGAAAGTTTGCGATAGCAGCGGAGAACGCTCCAGCTCTACCGCCCGCGACTTGTCGTGAGCGGCTGGGCATCTAATTGCGTCGGAGTGTGATCGCGACGTGGCCTCCGGAAGAGGGCTGTCAAGGTACGCCGACGTGGTCGCTTTACTGATTGGGAGATTGAGGGAGTCCTGGCTAAACGTTTGTGTCTTGTGCCAGACGGCTGAAGTGTATAGCTACGACCCGGCCCAAATACGAGCTTGGCGGCGAGTGCTCCAGGCACACCCAGAACAGTCCACAGGACCTGCAGCTTGAGCAACAAGGTCTTACAACAAGAGAAACAAATGGATCAACGCCGTTTATTAGAGTGTCAGTCCTCTCGACCAACCAAGTCGTATGAAAGCATCGGTCTAGCTGTCTTTGAAGTAGTCCGCGTAATGTACGATAATCTTCAAGTTGTTGTTGTGGTATCCTACAGTTGTCCACGTGAAAAATAGTGGCCACATTCTCCGGTTTCAACTCGTCCTTGTACTTCCATTTCCTAAACAGCATGGTCAGTACTTTACTGAAAGGAAGCTCAACACCGGAGTGGGCAACATCCTGGAGAACCCGACGTTTAAAACTTACAGAAGTACATTGCCGTGTACAACAAGAAGTTCCCAGACAGTGGCGTGACTATGGTTGGGTCGCTCACGGCGCGCTACGGAGACGAAGCCGTTGCGCGCGCACTCGAAGCTGCGGCTAAATGAACAGGCGAAGCACCCTCTGGCTGGCTATACTATCGAGGCCTGGCGGAGCTACCTGGACGTGTTCAATAAGCGGCTGCTGCTGCGTCAAGCAAGTAAAATTGACGAGCTCTCGGTATTCAGAGAGGCCTACGGGGATCGCGGGTTGGCAACAACGCTTCTGAGGGCAAACGGTAGCAGAGAAGCGCGGAGTAGAGCCAACGTTTTGCAGCGGGCGCAGTTTAAGGACTGGTCAGAGAAACGTGTGCGCCCCGAGGACGTTCTCACGAAACTTTACAAGGTGGACCGGATTACTAGCGACGACAACATGGTTGTGGACGCGTATATAAAGTGGCTTGCAAACGAAGCCAAGAAGTAGGACAACGAGTACTGGTCAACCGAGCACCGCTCTGTCGACGCGTCAACTTTGAAGCATTTATCAGAGTATACGGCGACTAGAGATCTATCGAGACGAAAACTAGTGGAGTGCCACTTCGCAAAGCTCAAGTCTAATGAGGTGTCCTTCGTACTTTCAGCACTATAAGGTGATCGTGTACTTCAATAGAAGCGTTATCGATAGCTTGCGACGGCTTTTGTAGAATGTGATACATGCATTACAGTAGCAGTGAATACTGATCGACGAAGAATGCGGATGAAGGGATGAGGCTAGACGCTTCGAAAATACGCGCTGGAATACGTGGATACATACTGACCTACTACTTCGTATACCTCACGAGACTTTCGTAGCCCGAGTGCTGTCGTTCCCGGCACCAGCTACGAGTGTCCCTGTTGTCCGGCTTGCAGTCGGACTTTACGCAAAATCCGGGAGCGTTGCAAACGAAGATACTCGACCGCCTCGGCTGAAAGTCCGTCCTCGTTGTAGGTCATGATTTCCACCTCGAGTTGGCGCTCCATCACTTCCAGTCTCTTCTCTTCGGCGGCTTCATTCAGTCGAGATAGACTGGCGTCAGTCGAATCAGCCTCTGTGTCACTTCGACGCTGCCTCACCCGTCGAGGTGGCGGGTCATTCGCGGCGGCTCCAGCTTCTTCATCTTTTGGTTCTTCACGCGACAAAGCACTCAGCTTGTTCGGCGTAGCAGCACCCACTTCTTCGGAGAGATCTTCGTCTGGTACCAGCAATGGCTTGACGAGCGTGCCCCATTTTGCGTGGTTCACGAGAAGTCTTACCGTAACTTCGTGCGAAAATGGGCGCCCATGTTCCTCTTGGAACGCGTTGCGCGCAGACGAAAAGGCTTCTTCCTGAGATGCTTCTGCTTCTTGACTGCTCAAACAGGAGCCCACCCACTGGTCGCAAAACAGCGTGAGAAACTCAACCAGACTCGGCAGAATTGAGAGCCACTGCGCGTGGAGTTCATAGACGGATCGTGCCCGCTCCTCTGTTCCGGCACCGGAGTATTCATCTCGAACCCATTCCCAGAACGAGCGACCGATTTCATCATTTAAATCTTTGGCAATCTCTCGGGTCAGCTGAACATCATCATAGCCTGTAGACTCTTCGACGACCTTGATCCATGCGCGACTCAAGCATTCCTGTTCAGCAGGAGTGAAGTCCGCTTCGGAAGACGTCCTCGCGGTCGTGCTGACACTGTGAGTAGAGCTTCGGGTCTTGCGCTTCTTCCCACACATAGCGTCGGCTTGCTTGGTTTTGTCGGAATTTGCCAACTAGTGCCAACTTCTCGGCTCGTCCTTTTCTTTCAAGAGATTTCTTGGTTTAATCGTTGGCAAGGGGTGAGTTTTGCAGTGCACCTGCACCATGCAGCTTCTGCAAATGCCGCATTCGTCTTCTGACCGTCAGTGGGACATTGCACCCACGAGCTGCTTTACACTCGAAACTAGACTTTTGAAAAGGTCGATGTGTACACGGAGCGCCAGATCCGAAGTGGCAACCAAGAAACAACTGGAAAAGCCCACCGTATCGTATCGCTCGAGCTGGTATGGGTTGTGATCCGAGTCTTCTGCATTGACGAGTTGATCACGAGAAGTGTGTTTGCATGGGGCAACCAAGGCAATTGTGCAGATCGAGTTCAAGTTTTTTTTCTCGTGGGGATGATATTCACTGTCAGGATCAAATTGAGATAATGGCAACAGAGGCCACTAGCAGCGACGCAAAATGCTTGGAGCTCGCTCGAGAGGAAGCTCTCACACCACCAGTGATCCTGGCGGCAGCTGGAACTGACCAGCGCAAGGAAATCGCAGCTATCGCGTCAGGAGCCGAAAAGTTACAATACAGGAATGGTCACGAATTAATTAATTTACTTACTTACTCCCGCGTGTCTTTTGGAGAATCTGCTGTCTCCGCACGTGCAAGTACTCAACCGCTTCTGGGCTCAAGCCAGCTTCACTCTGTGTCATCACCTGCAGGTCTGAATGATTCGTGATCCATTCCAGCCATTGCGCCGACAAAGCCGCTTGCAGCTATCGCGATCAGCGACTTAATCGAAGGCGGGGAGCTGGGGTCGAGAGCTTGTCGACACGTTGCTGACGCTGCTTCAGCTGAGGCGGTGCCACACTCGTCACTCACGGGGGAAACGGTATTCGGCTCTTCAGAACTCTCACATGTAGTTTCGTCGCATTGATCCGTCTGTCCCAGAGAAGAAGTCCCCGATGAAACTCCAGGAGCGCTTGACCCGAGAATCAATGGCCTTAGAACGCTTTCCCAGTCAGTGTGACGCTCCAAAACCTCCTAGGCTGCACGGTGCTGGAACCAGTGCTCGTGCTGAGTCCAAAACGCCTCTTGTGCGCGTAGAATTACCACTTCGCGATCGGCTCGGCGGACGTCAGCCTTCTTCGCTAGCTCTGCCTCATAGAGTAAGTGAAATGCAGCGATGCACTCTTTGATTCTCAGCCACTCGTCCTTGAGTACGCCATCGATGTCGCCGCGGCAGTCAGGCTTGGCCACCAGATCGAAGTAGACACTCGACACCAAGAACCAGAACCACTTGTTCGACTCCTCCAACCTCGGCGACATGTCTGCACAACTGCAGGAGACGTCGGCCCACGCCAGCGCCAGATGAACGGCTTCCACACGTTGCTCAGTTTCCTCGTCTTGATTTGGACTTTCAGTCGCTAATTCTTTGCGTTCTCTCCACTTTGAACAACTCCCGAGGGCTGCTGATCTGCGGTTGGCGTCTCGTTTCCAGAGCCACCCTGAGCATCCTGCCCTCTAACAGCTCTCGCTGTTTGAATCACTCTACTTCGTTTCACCGGTTTCTTCCCGATGCCTCGTTGTGTGCTGCTGGAATGCGTCGGCGTCACTACTGCAGCTGCCCTCACCTCGTCAACGCAGCCTCCAGCATGGCGCTCTTGGGCTCCGCAGCCCAGCTCCTCTGTCTCCAGATTACCAATCACTTGGTAACGAGCTTGCGAGTCCCCTTCATTCACCTCCACTTCCTCTGCCGAATCCACGTATTGATGTACCCTATGGGGCGCCTTCTTCCGGCGTTTGGCACCTGATACTCGCTGCTTCTTGCTCGAGCCCAGAACAGCGCTCGAACGTCTTGCTGCACTCGCACCATCCACTTCTTCAGTCTCACGAGTACGTGGAACCACCTTCCCCTCATCGTCCACAGGTGCGTCTCCGTGGCCACGACAATGCTTCTGCAGTGTCGTCAATGCTGCTGCTTGTTTGCAACCCCCCGCAGTCGCAGCAGGAGCAGGAGCAGCACCATTCTCGACTTCCTCTCGAAGCACCAACGGCTTCAGCACCCGCTCCCAGTCTCCGTGGTGCGTTAGCAGGTTCCACACGTCCAAGAGGTCGAAGCGCTGCCCCGTCCTCTCCTGGAAGGCGTCCACCGCTCTCTCCAGCAGCTTCTGGTAGTCCCGGGACGGCAGCGAGTCCAAGGTCGTGACGGGTCCATTGGGCCATAACTCCGTCAATATGGAGTGGAAGTGCGCCACACTCGGCCGCATGCCTTCCCATAGCTGTCGCAGTGTGTGGGCGCCTTTGCTTTCGCTGGAGTGCAGCGCCTTCGCGTTGTAGCCTTGGTGCACCCAGGACCAGAAGAGCTCGGCCTCCTCTTTCGAGTACTGGCCGCTGCCGGGACAGGACGACGCCAGCAGCTCCGGCGTGAGCGACTCGATGCTGCACACGGCGCTGGCCCACGACAGCGCGAGCGCCACGAAGGAGTCCGAGGCCCACGGGATGGGAGCGCATCTTCCTTTTTCGACGCCCCGCGCGATAAAATAACCTATCTCAGTGGCTCAGGTTGCTGGTAGAGGGTGAGCGAAACAACTTGAGCCACCTCCAAACCCGGATTTCTATGGAGTTGTACAGATTGGCTCAGGTTGCTCGTTGAGGGTGTTTGTCCACTTCTAACTGCTTCTAAACACTTAATTAGAATTCAAGTCCAAACTAAACTATGGCTTCATCTTACCGGTAATTGAATCTACAGTTCTAAAATAGAAATCCTAGATTTCGTAATTTAATTAGAAATTTGCTAACCATTAAGAATGCACCCATCTTCTGAAGTCGTAACAGATGGATACATTCTTAACCTTACAACACTGTTCTAATTTAGGGCTCCTAAATGCTGTGGATGCCTACTACAACGAACGGCGCTTCGCGGGTGGCCTCCACTATCGCTGTGGCGGTAAAGGTCGCAAGTCCGTCATTGTTTTGCTAGGTTTTTAGCTGCCCCACGCGCTGCTGTCGCCCACCACCTTGTGTACTCGTTCGTTACGGCATTGTCGAGCTTTGTAAGCTTTTCTTCGGATTTCATCCTGAAAATTTTCGGCACAACTTCATCGGGGGCGATTTTCCTCGAAATCCACGAGTTGAAGAGCTCACGCTCGAATTCCATCGCAATAAGACCCGACTCCTCGTCGTGTTTCGCCTTTTGAATCATCCCGGCAAAGTCACGTCTGCCAAAGACCTTCTTCAGTACCTTGAATTCTGTGGTCTTGGCCTTGGCTTCGGCGTGATTGTTGTAAACATTAAAGTAGCTACGCCAAGCTTTGTAAACGTTGCCCTTGAGCGGGTTGTACGCCATGTCAAGCTCCAGTTTCCCGAAAACACCGCCGTAAGAGGCGCTATTGTGCCAAAGACGGAATTGCTCGGCCTGCAGCTTCTCCGCCAGCGCCTTCGTCTTCGGATTGGTAGAGCTCATAGCTGCTTCGAGCATGCCCGCCAGAGCATGGTCGCCATACTTGTTGGTGAGGGTCCCCACCACCGTCACGTCACTTTCAGGGAACTTATTCTTGTAGCGGGCAACGTACTTGGTCAGTTTCTTCAGCTTCCGTCGGTTGGACAGGAGATCGTCAACTTTGTCGTCGAACTTGAGAAGGGCAAGCGCGTCGTCCGCGGACTTCCCCTCGTTCAGCAGATTGCGCAGGTCGAATTTCAGCTGGACCTTGGACGCCAGTCCCGTGATTGCGCCTCCGATTGCGTCTCCAATTGCGCGCTCTTCTTCGTCGTCACCTTCCGCCCGGTTTTCATTCCGCAGCATTCTCGTGGTCGGAGCATCGTTCTTGGCAGCAATAAACGAGTGGGCGATAGCTGGAGGGGACGTCTTTGCGGCTGCAGCATCGGCAGCTGAGAGGAGGACGGCAGCAGCCAGCAGTGCGATGATACCGTGAAGACGCATTTGCTTGCTTCAGCAAAGTTCACCCTGTGAGTTTTGGGGCGCAAAAGGCCGAATGAATACCAAAAAGGCTTTGGCGAGGCGGCTGTGTGATAGACTCGGTTTCACTGAGTCTCAGTGAGACTGGGCACCTGCCGTACATCCCGTATGCTGTATCATTGGGAAGGTGACCCAAGCGGAAACCATACAATTTGTGCAATTGTGAGCTGTACTCTTCACCTGGCCAAGCGATTCGTCACTATATGGCCCCTGAGCTCTTGCAAGTTGCAACCAAGTGGCCAAGGGCAATCAACTCATGACTGTGATCAATGCACTCACTGCTAAAGTAAAGTTGGACGCGAGATTATCCGAACGGAGGACGTTCAAAATATAGCACTAGACTCGGGAGATATTTGCCCCAATGCCGTACCTTATGCAGCTACAGTTGGCGTGGTTTGACGCTGGGGTAGTGCTCGCTTAGCCAGTCGAAGATGTTGTCAGAAGGGAAGTCTGCATCCGGCTCGTACATGTCCATGAAGACGTCGCGCTTTCGGGTGGCGCGGAAGGCCTCGGTCGTGCAGCCTTCCCGGCGCTGTGAGTGCAGGAACAGCACGAGGTCGAAGTCCCAGAATCTCGCTGCCAAGTCCACCGCGACCTTGGTGCATCCTTCGATCCGATGCTCGTGCAACCACTGAACCACGTGCAGGTGACCCGCAGCCACTGCTTCCTCCATCGCGCGGATAGTGCACCCCTCCGATCGATTGTCGTGGAACCACTTGACCACCGCTAGGTTGCCCGAAGCGGCCGCGTTATCCATCGCATGGGTCGTACATCCTCCCACTTGGTGATTATGCAGCCACTTGATAATGTCCAGATGCCCTAGAGCTGCTGCTGCGTCCATAGCGGCCGTTGTGCAGCCCTCGGCACGGTTCATGTGAAGCCACTTGACGACTTCTAGATGGCCTTGAGCTGCTGCGTTGTCCATGGCTCTGGTCGTACACCCTTCCGACCGGTTTGTGTGCAACCACTTCACGACTTCGAGATGCCCGCCACTGGCCGCATCATCCATCGCCAGCACCGTGCACCCCTCTCGCCGGTTCTCATGTAGCCATTGCATCACCTCGAGGTGTCCCTGTGCAGCGGCAGAGTCCATGGCCCGAGCCGTGCACCCCTCCGGTCTGTGCGCGTGGAGCCACTGCACCACATCCAAACAATTGTAAGCCGCCGCGGAGTCCATGGCATTCGTAGAGCCCGTTGGCCCCGTCCCCAGTATAGCCCGGCCGCTAGCGTCAGTATAGTTTCCTCGGGCCGTCATCCTGACCGATATCTGGTGCAAATACTTGACCACAGGAAGGTGCCGCGCTGCTGTATCGATCAAATGCGGGCGATGGAACGGGTTCCAGCCTGGAGGTACAGCGGCACCGAAGAGATCGATCTCAGCGCCGAACGACTCCACCAGCCACTCCACCAGATCCAGATCCCCCAACGCGACCGCCCCCGCCATCGTCTTCTCCGAAATCCACATTGGCGGGTCTCTCTGCATCCGCAGCATGCCGCGCACGGGGGATTCAGTGAGCGGGTAGTATCGCTGCTCGCGAATGTGTTTCCAGTATCGAGTATAAAGACGCTTGGCCATATCCAGACATCCAAGCCTCGCCGCCGCTTCAAGCGCTCGACCAGCTTCCAGCAGTTTGTTCCTGATCAGCCACATGACCATGTCCAGTCGACAGGCGTTCATCGCTACCCACACCGCAAGGAAGGCGTTGCGCGCGTAGCCGTTCTTCAGCAGCCACCTCATCATACTCAAGTGGCCTCCCAGCACGGCTTCTCGCATGAAGTCTTGCGGGCTGCCACACAGCAACTCCCTGGCGTTCTCGCCGACCATGAGCCCCTCGCGGTCTTCTTGCATGAGCTCCATGATGTTCTCCATTGGCGCTTCAGGCTCCCGTCCCCTCATTCCTGCTGCAACACGAGCGGCGACAGCTTCTTGCAAGAGCTGCTCCAGGTTAGGCGGAAAGAGTCCCCCAGCACCTGCAGGCTGCGCGCCTTGCTGGGCTGGCACGACTGCAGCTACAGCTGCAGCAGGAGGATTGCCCCTTGCCTGCTGACCAACGCGCATGGCCAAGCTGAACGCTCCAACCATTGTAACCACAGCAGGGATAGCTGCACCAGTCCCCGTAGTGGCCCCTTCAGCGTTCATGCGTATCGGGATGAACAGCCCCATCGCAAGCCGTTCGATCTCCTCCTCCTCCCTCCGCATCATGTCGTCCAAGTCGTCTTCCCCATCGCCAAGCGTGTCAAACTCACGCGCTGCCACGCGGGTCCTGTACTCGGCACAGAACCATCGGAGCATCTTGACGTCTCCGTTGCGCACTGCGTTGAACAGCGCCGCGCGGATGCAGCGCGGGACCCGCGGCGTGTTGTCGTGTAGCCACTGCACCACGTGCATGTTGTCCTTCCTCTCGGCCGCTCTGGCCATGTCGTGGCGTCCCCAGCGGACGACGTTGCCCTCTTGAGCCTCAACTTCATCTCGCCCCGCTCTACCGCCCTCCATCTTGGCAGGAAGCTCGTGCTGCTTGAAGAACTCGAGCAGCTCCAGCTTCCCCGCTGCTGCAGCCTCCTGCACCGCCCCAAAAGGCACAATGCAGCCGTGGAAGTGCGCATAGAGCCACTGCGCCAGTTCCATGGCCTTGTCCTGCTTCACGGCCTCCACGATGGCCCGACGGAACTGGAAGCGTCTGTAGTGTCTGTCCGTGCGCAGGAACTTCCTGCGGGACCAGCGGCCGCCGTTGCCGGGGCCCAGCGAGGCCGGGGACGGCTCCGTCTCGGGCGCAGAGCCCTGCCAGATGTGCTCCAGCAGCGCCGCCGAGTTCATCTTGCACGCCTGCCAGAGCTCCATCTCCACCGCCGAGTCCAGGAAGGCCGTGACCGAGTCCTGCACGAGCGACGCGAAGATGGCCCGGGACCGCAGCACGAGCGTCGCGGCCAGGAACGGCGGAGGGGACGGCAGCGCGGACTCGGACGCCATCACTTCGCTGCTTCTTGTGCCCAAGGAGGGAAATTCGGATATGTGTCTGAGGGCAGGAACGGCCAAGTTGAAGATGTTGAAGTTGGCTACGCTTGGTTTCACTATGGTCGAGTGTAGTGACGAATTACATTCCGCCGTTCGAAATAAAAGCCAGAGCCGTATTTATTTTCTGCCGCTGGCTCCGTCGGTCCCGAAGGACAGCCCGACTTTCGCGTGACAAAAAGTCTAGAGCTTACGTGGTAGAATTCAGGTTTTGGTGCACGATTCGGTAGCTCTAGCAGTTGTGATGTTGAGAGATCATGCCTTCCTGCACCTCGAAAGCAACGTTTGGACGTGTGTTATTGATTGAAACTGCATGTGTATCTGGGGGTGCTAGAGGCTAAATGCCAGCTAATGAGCAGTGTGTTGTGGGCAAACATTCGCCGGCGCATCGAAAACACTGTAAGTTGGCTTCGAGATTAGAAGTTACTAGCGCTTGCTGGTGATGGTTTCCGCCCCGAGGGCATCATGGGCGCAAGACTCACTTAGAGGTAAGGAGGTGATTGGTAGTGCTACAGTAATTTGCCTCAATAGCGCAATGGCTACATGTATACATTATTTAAGATAATTGCATAGGAGAGGCTAGCGGGACTCCCATTGGGTGGATTTGGGGTATAGACAGCTACCCGTTTCAGCAGGTTATTGGATGTCACGACTGCGCTATTGAGGCAAATTACTGTACTACAACAGGGTGATCTCCCCGCCATCAAGACGGATTTGCCAATAACTACACTGCCTACGGTAATTAGTCTGTGTGCGGAAATAGTCTATGTTCGAAAATAGTCTTGGTCAGACTATTTATTGTACTGGTCAAAATGTAGAATTCATAATTAGTCGGACCACTTCAACTTCAAAATTAGTCTAGTCTTAGCAAAAATATAGTCTAGGTCAGACTATTTATTGTCTAAGAGCAATGAACCATTCGATCAAAAATAGTCTAGGTCAGACTAATTACCGTAGGCAGTGTAGCGCAACAACTTAGTCCATTTATATTGTGGTAGCTAGCAAAACGAGACGTTCATTAAGCAGTTAATCAACTTCTTCTTCTTCAACAGGGTGATCCAGATGTTCCTTGAAGGTGAAGCGAGCGACATGGGAGGCTATCAATGACAGCGACATTAGAGCAAGCTTACAAGCCGAATGCTTGCAGTGCACTCGGACAGCTTAGGCTATGATATCGTAGCCCAAGTAAGATGCGAGGCGTTCACAATGTACAGCAATCGACTGAGTGTACCAACATGTGGGGCCTAACACGTACTACTGGTAGTACTTTTGCCACGCAGCTTTAGTAAGTCCCCACGCCACCTCCAGCGCCGTCGCCACCTGACCACAGTTCGACGGACGACACCATCGCCAAGGGTAAGTCGTGCCCGAAGGCCCTGCGCTACTATGCAGCAATACACGGCGAAACCACCAAGCTAGACCCGGAGGAGCGATGCCCACGTACAATGAGGAGGAGGTGGTGGTAGGGGGGGGGGGGGGGCAACGACCTCTTCGAGGTTGTCGTGCTGCGATCACAGCGGAAACATTGAGCGGCTACTTCATCACTGATGAATCATGAGCTTGCTCCCATGTGTACTGGGCGGTCGAAGCTACTGTAACAACTTGCCAAGTCAGGCATCAGCGAGCAGTAGATAGTCTAGCGTATACATTGCTTGAAGCTATGCTTTATTTAGCACCAGATGGACGAGATAAAGATTACTACTATAATACTATTAGTATTGCTACTGTAGTATTGCGTACATTTTCTAAATGTAGATTGTACATAACAAAGCCGTGCTCTGCCCGGAACAGCTCTGGATTTTACGTTGCTCTTGGGCATATAAGGAGGAATTACTCCAGCTTGGTAGCTCTTGTAAAAAGCTATGCAAGTACTTAGTAGTAGATTTGTAGCCATGAGTTATACTGATTTAAGCTACCACTATGCTACGCACCCCGCGCGGTCCTCCGACCTTAAACGCTCGCTACGCTTACTTGGACAGATGCCAGGTTCAGGAGTAGAGCTTCAGTTTGGACAGCCCAGCCGGCCAAGGAAAATTTTTACTACGAGAGCTATGCGTAGGCTGGGATAGCTAAAGGATTTTGTGTGAGGTAATGCCACGCGACAATTCTGGGGAAATTACGAAAAACAACAATTTACGTAGCTGTGGGTGCGTTCAATTCTCGTTATATATTTATTTCGATAGTGATAGGGAGGCAGCGTGCTGTAAAAAAAAAACGAAGCGTTAACGTCCTGGCCGAGCTCGTGCAATTTAGGCACTGACCGGTAGCGCCAGCGAGAATTCAGCGCGTTGTAGACAAGGTCTATGTTTTCATAAGGTTGCTGAGCATTGTCTGGGAGACCATTTTTCTACTAGTATTTGTTTTATCCTGAAAGTGCAAGTTCTGCATTAGTTGTTCTCAGACAGATAGTTTAGAAGAAATACTCTCAGATGCAGTATGCCGATGTGACAGAATCGAAAACTATACTTCGTTCGAAGTAAGTAAAGTGAACGCGTGTGCTTCTAGTAGGCGTTAGTATAGAACCCGCTATATACTTTAGTGTCCGGTACAGTGGTTGGCGACTACTTGTGCAACTGCGCGTTGGGGGTTAAGCCACAACTCTATGGACGGTTCTAATAGTCGAATGCAGGCAGATACTGCGGCTGCAAAGCAGGCGCAGAAGATGCCTGTGGATAGCGGTTTTGCCAGCACAAGGTTTGATATAACACAATATTCCAGTCAAGAAGCGCGGTTAGTGGACGATAACTACGGCCATCTACTGCGCCTGCTTCGAAGCCGCAGCATCTGGCCGGTAATACATGATAGTTCAGTGAGAAATGATGCAGTCCTGTTTACTTTTAAAACCTTGCAAACAATTATTTTGCTCTTTGCACTCTCGCTAATTGCGATTTCGATGTCTCCTGAACGTTACCTGTAACTGGGAATACATTTCGTGACGAACTAAGGGTTGTGAGGCTGGTACTTGTAAGCCAGCAAGCTGGTCTCCCAGGATACATGCTCTAGCTAGATGAAGCAGCTATGAGCAGATAGTATTTCAAACACGCACCGTTATGGATCAATCAGGAACCGGACGATGTCATCCGATTCTTTCGCTTCGCGCCTTGAGCTCAGGACGTTAGAGAGCATGTCTGTGTTTTCAAGGTAATATAGTTAGTTTAAATTACTTGCTCTTGTACTGTAGATGGACGAGCTGCCACACGCTGCCACACCAGATCGGCAAATAGTTTTCATATATGCTGTCGTTTGAGAGGCCGACCGTCGGCCTAACGGCTACACGATTAGCTGACGTTCCTTGAGTTGACGATGTCGGCGTCGGCACTATTTCCGGGGTCGGCTCGCAGCTGCTGGGGCACATATCGGTGAGCTACGGCAACAAGCGTAAGCTAAGAACATCGCTCATCAGCGACGTGGTGCCGAAGACCGGCGAGCAGCGCTGATCTCGGCAACGATTCCTCGCAGCACTCGTGTCCAAATGCGACGAATACGGAATTTTCGAAATGCTCTCCATCACTCTCGAGCTTGTCTCGGACTTGAGATTGATGGAGAGCATAGGCGATATTCAGTTAACTTCAGTTACCGAGCCAGTTTTTCGGCTTCAGTATTACCGGCTTCAGTTACCGAGGTGCCGCCAAAGTAATCTGTGTTGGGCTGGCCACAGCACTCCCTCCGGGGTTACTGCTATCCCAGAAAAAGGAGGCACCTAGAACCCCGCTTTTCTAGTTTGTAGTGGTGCTATCTAATTGCGCGGACCATGTATGTTGCGCTGATACGAAGAGATCGCTAGGTGATAATAGTATCTTATACAGTATACATGCAGCTCTATGGGTGTATGAAAGCATCGGCACGGCAACTAGCTTACGAGAGACAAGTATAGCTAGCACGACGACGGGCAGATGAGGGCATTTTGTCTGAGTGTCGGCCCGTTCGGTTGTTCTGCAGCGAGGTAAGTCCAGCTGGTTCGGTGCCACACCAGCGGAGTTTTTACCGTGAGCACGGGGGGACCGACAAAGCTGAACTGAGACTCGGTTGTATCGCTACTCTAGTTCTAAGGAACGGCCTGTGGTCTGGATCACTCATCATTTTCTCTGCGTTTTCATACAACTTTCCTTAGGATTACACGGAGAATGAATTTGTTAGGAATACACGGTCACTTCTTACGATTGAAGCACAGGAGATCGCGCTAGAATCTACGCCATGATCGCTGCGGCCTTTATGGTGACAAGCTGCAGGGGCTGTCCTACTCCGAGTGGCGCGGCTAACCTTTAGGCTGCTTGCGTCTTGGCCCCCACGTTTTTCGGATAATCCTGTAGGTTGGTACAGTTTGTCTAGAGAACTAATGTCTTAATTGGTAGGTTTGTAGCCGAGCGATTTTGGTTTGCTTCAACGGACTTGCATACCGTTTTCAGGTGCACATCCAGCCCAATTCTCTAGTTGGCCATTTTTGGCGCCCCCAATTTTTTTCCGGCTGCCTGATGTACATGTACTGTCGCCGCATCAATTTCACGAGGAAAAATTAGATATAGAGCGAAAGTATGGCATTCCTGGCTAGTTCGTGATAGCTTTTTGGGAAGTGGGCGTATTTCAACTTGTGTTCCTGGATATGCATGCATTCGCAGCTCCTTTAGCCTCCCCCCGATCTCTTCAGCCATGAACGAGTGTTGATACCCTACGGGTTCTCGCCAAAAAAGGATATGGCGCCAGCCGCTACGGCAGCTTGATAGGAAAACTCGATTACGGCTTCCATTAACCACAACAACTCTGGGGGTCAATGAACTCGCTCATCAAAGCAGACGTTGCGACGTAATTGTAGGAATGAACTCTTATTATTACGTGTACAGCACACGGTGGGATCGACATCGTCGTTGTTATAGTGTAAAGCGCTGCCGAAATCATCACCACTGGAACACTTCAAGGCGGGATCCCGTCAGCATGTTGACCGAGCGAAAAAAATCGGATGGATGTTGCTTGCGCGGTAGATAAATTAGATGTCGCAGGTATATATAATTGATTAGGGAGTATCAAATGTAATAGGTAATTTTTCTTAATCTCAACCCGATGGGTCAACATAGCAGCATAAATTGATTAGGGAGCAGGTTATTTAATATAACAGGAATCTCGACTGCATATGTGAGCAGCAATAAATATCATATTGGTCAGGTATTTGATGCAAGAATAATGGTACCTCAGTGGCATCCACCTATGGACTCTGGATAAAATCCAGAGATAGTACGTAGTACTAAGGTTCAGGCAATATAGTACTTTAACTGTAGTATTTGTTGAAAATCAATGATCTCCATCTCCTGGGTCGTTGGGTTGGCATCAAGGAAATGTACAAGGGTGTAGTTGTGCTCATGCCTCTCCTGTATGTTTGCAGCACTCTGAAGCGGGTAACCAAACCTGCATGAAGAGCCTTGGATGATATGACGGACAGAAAACGATGGTTTCTTATCTTGGATCACACTCCTGCATGCAGTTATGAGTTTATTAGCAACAATGAGCAAGAAGTTGTTCTTGGTGGCGTCGTATCCGAAAGATCGCAACCAGCTCATACAGGGCAGACACTTTTCTTCGGCTGGACCTTCAATCCCGACATTTCTCCAAACTGTTGTAGAAGGTGGTTCAGCGGAACGATTTGACGAGTAGCTGATAGAAAAACTGTACAATCATCTACGAATCCATTAAAAACCTGTCGTCTACCTCCAGAACCCGGAATTTTCAGAACATTAATTTCAGGGTGAGAAGCAATCGCTCGACCAAGAAAATCAATCGCCAAAATAAAGAGAAGAGGTGCGAGCGGGCATCCTTGACGAATTCCTGAATTAACCTCCCACTTCGATGACTCTACCCCATTCACCAATTAACGTGCCGTGGTTCCTGTGTGCAAACTGTGAAGCACATCAAGAAACTCTTGCGGAAAACCAAATTCCATCAAAGCCGTAAGCAGGAAGCTGCGATCCAATGTGTCGTAGGCTTTGCACTCGTCGAGCCCAAGGATGGCGGCCGAGTCAGCCCATGCAATGCTTGCGTCCTCCAGCTGGGTTAGCAACAGTGCTTGGACGACTGTTACGCTTTTAGTCATGAACCTGCCCCGCACAAACCCTTGTTGAGCCAAACTGATTATCCGTGGGAGAAATAGATGAATCCGTTCTGCATAAATTCTGCCTAGGATTTTATAAGCTGTGTGGAGCAGAGAGATTGGACGACAGTCCATTGCATTTCTTGAGTCTCCCTTCTTCCGGAGTGGAACAACTACGGCGTCAAGGAACGAGCTCGGTACCGCTGCACCCTTCTGAATCGCCTGATAGACCATCGTAAGACATTCCGCCATCTCATCCTTGAAGTCCTTGTAAAAATCATGCGAGAGACCCGTAGTTCCTCCAGATTTATCACGAGGGAGTTTGTCGATCGCATCAGCAACTTCTTTCTCTACGATGGGATTCACAAGTTGTTGCTTCTCCTCCGGGCGTAAGCGTTGGGAATCCGGGATCATATGAAATTCTCGGAGAGCTTTCTGCATTTCTGATGGATTGAGAGTCGCGTGTGAGCCCCCCATTATATCATTCCATTCACTTGCCATTTTTTCTGCTACTGGCATTGATTCGGGGTAGTAGTGACCAGGCGCTGGAGAAATATCAGAGATCGTTTGATCACGTTGCCAATCCGCGTGCCGTTTGTAGAAGTTTTTAAGATTGGCTACCGTCGGTTGTAGAGTTCTGCCAAACGCTCGTTGGCCTTGTCGTACACGGGAATTGTTGGCGATTCGCTGTAAGTCCTCTCGTGATTTGGCTTCACAATTCAGGCACTTCCTCAAATTGTTGTAGTGAGACGTAGTTCTTTACTTATCCATTCGCGCCACGTCTCTGAGCATTATAGAGATCTGCCTAGCAAACGTATCCCATGCTCTTGCTGGGTAGCTTTGTTGGAAAAATGTCGCTTTCAACTTGTGTAGTCTTTTCCGGATTTGTTTATGAACCCATTCTGGTGAAGCGCTTCGAATAGGGTAGTGCGATTTATTTTTCCTCCCTGCACTGGATTTACGTAGCGTGAGCCAGAGCCGTACTTCCTGATGATCGGATTTATTGCTCGGTGGCCGTGCTTCAATCCATTGCGCTAGTCCCGCAAGATCATTGCTCAGATAGAAGTGATCCAGCCTGCTTGCAGACTGCTTTCTCCAAAAACTAAATGCGTCAAGGGGTCGGGAACGCTATCTTCGTTGGCATGCGTTGTAAGCTGTACCGCATCGAGGAGGTCGAGCTGATCTACCAGTCGGTCAAGCTCAACACTTTCACAGGACTTCGCACTTGGTAATCCATTAATTATTCGATCAAGAGAAGGCTGCAGAACGGCATTAAAATCTCCCCCCAGTAGAAGCAGCTTGACTTTTGAAATCCAACTCTGCAGATCGCTATAAAAACTGCGTTGAGCCTTCCTGTCTGTTGGCGCGTAGATGTTTACTAGCGTCCATTCTCGAAAGCGCAGTCCAATTCGTCGTCCCGTCCACTCACTTGGTCTCCACGGGCTGACTTGAGCTGCGATATTCGGCTGCAAAAGAATACCAATGCATCCTGACGATCCTTCCATCTTCGACCAGTAACTGAGGGGTTGTTTCGGCTCCTTAATACCCCACACCCTGTTCCACATTTCTGCTACCTCATCAATTTCCTCACTTGTCTTCAGGTGAGTATCTTGTACATAAATTACGTCGGCTGGTCGTAGACTTGTACGTTGTTTCCAACCACGCAGCCACCCAGATCGACGCTCCTTTTTAAAGCCTTGTAAATTCTGTGTAATCACATGTAGTTCTGCTCGATGCTGTTTGTTTTTCTTGTTATCTAACCCAGATCCATAAAACAAATCTGCCATTTGCTGCAGTTCTGTATATAGGTCCAAGTCCTCCATTGCGGTAGTATTGAGCATCTTGGTTCATCTAATCCTGCATGACCTCCGATTCGGTCGCTGCAATAGTTTCATTCTGCATCCTAGTAGAGATTCTAGCGCGGCCCAGTCTCCATCCGAATCGTTTGCGTAAAATGCCCTCTGCACACTAGGGAACCGCTGAAGTGCAAGAAGAAATCGATTGAGAACCTCTCTTGTGGAGAACTCTATCGATTCGGGTCGCCCTTGCATTCTGCCTAGTTCAGGTGCATACACAAATGCAGCGATGAGTTTCCGCGAGAGGTAATCCGTTTTCCGCTTTTTACAAAGTTGAAGGAGCTGAACAGCGTCGGGCTTGAGCTTGTTCAGAATACCCCACAAATCCGGAGAGTGAAGATAGCTGTCATCAACCATTGTAGCTCTTTCCTTCCGGAAGAAATCAAGCCACGACATCATCGAATTGACAGCTTCTGCATCCACATCGACACCTTCATTTCGTCGTCGTTCAATCACTTCACCAAGCTTAGCTATGCCAATGATAAGACAATCAATTCGATATTGACGGGTCCAGTCCAGAATCGTATTAACTTTGAGCGTCCTCAGCACATATTCAGGCGAGTCAACTTGCTGTAGCCGCTCGAGCAACACATTCGGATGCGCAGTCACCGCGTTTTACCAGGTCACTGCGTCAGCCGGGAGCCGGGGAAATGGTACTGAGCTGAAGTTTTCCCATCTTTCTTCCAGCGCATTCCACTCGTCTCTTTTAATGCGCTCCGTGCTCCTACCACCTCCAGTGAATCTACTCCGTTGGCTATCCGGAGGCTCTTTTGGGACGTTAGAGCTAGTGGACAATTCGCTTCATGACTCGATCCAGATGAGGCGATACTTGGAGTCCATTCCGACGTATTTGATGCTTCCATATCCACGTCATCATCGTCTGGCGTGGTTGTGCCGTCGACACCATCTTCTAGCAGTCTCTGCTGCCAACGAACTAACGTTGTTTTGGGTTCTCCGGTCATCCTAGTGATCAAATCGACTTGCGAGCTTTCGTCCCAATTGAGATTGAGCAGAAGTTTTTGCAGACCCGGGGCTAGTCCATGTGGGCCTTGAGCTGGAAAAGCTTGTAGCTCCTGCTTACGATGTCCTCCATTCATGAGTATTTCTTGTAGCTCTGCCTGCTCTCTATCGGATAGACCTGAATCCTGAATTGCTGTAAGTAAATCTTCATTTTGTGCATACGCTGCCGTTGCCTGTTGTCGGTTTGGCTCATTTGATCGGCTCTGATTATCTTGCATGCTCGAGTTGCGAACGGGTGTTGGCTCCTCGGCCACTACAGCTTCCAAAGCAAAAAAAATTCTCCAACAATTCATCACTGGGCGCTTCTCCAAATTGTAGTCGGGTGTAGTGCTGAGAGCCAAAATGAATAACAATCGGCAGTGCACCTGCCTTCTCCCCCTCAACACAATCTTCTTGCAGCGATGTTAGCCATTGGACAACCGATTCACCTCCATAGTTAAATTCTCCTGCGGACATCAGCTCATCAGTAGAAGTAACTTTACGGATGGGCTTGAAAATCTGATAACTAGCATCAGCGAGACCACTTGGTGTTACGACCAGATAGATCGGTCGCTGGAGTAGCTTCGTTACTAACAAGAGAGTCAGCTCAGATCCCCAAAAAGATCGAGGGATGAAAGCAGTGCTCTTCGAGCTGCTCCTGCATACGTCCTCAATATATTCGCGGAGATACTGCGACGATTCCTGAACAGTAAGCTCCCCAGCGCGCTGAATGTGAGAGCTGAGAATTGTTTTTCTGATATCGTGGGGAAACTCCACATCAAACCCGTGTTCCGCTGCCATTTGGACTCCCTTTTTCAGTTTGATTGCCACCCTTTCGGCCGCCTTTACGGTCTCAGGACCCGAAAAATCAACATTCAGCAACGCCATAGCAATCGCGTAGAATTGACAGTTACCAGTGCCTGGCGTCGAAACAGAATTTTGTCCACATCGCTTCAATACTTCAACCCCTGGTAGCTGGCCGACGCTGGCAAGGTCAATGTCCCGACAAAGGCTTGCTCTTTCTGGCTCGCGCAAATATTGCCGCTTGTAAACAGCTTCGCAGATGAGCCGATTTTGCTTCGACAATGACTCCGGTCTCATGAGAAACGTCTTGCCTGATGACTTTGGCAATTGCTGTTCTCCTCCCTCCGAATCAGATGAAGAGTCCGACAAATCGTCCAGGTTAATAACATCTTCCCGTAGCTCAGTATCCTTCTTCGCTCGCGGGGCGTTCTCTTGAGAAAACTCGGCCGCCGCTTCTCGTGCTGTCTTTCCTGGGCGGAACGTTCTCGATTTAGATGGCATTTTCCACTCCTCATGCACTCTTGGCTCCTGCAACGGGAGGCAAGACTCGGAGTTTCCGTTCTGTTCCTTGACATTCTGACTGATAGCCGAAGTTCCGCTGATCTTTTGGTTAGACTTCGTTTTATCCTTCCACATATTTTCCAGTTCCTGAAAACTTGTAACCGTGGATTTATGTCGGTCAAAGGAAGAGATTTCTTTCGTCGTGACTATAATACAGCCACTACCACGAGACCACGCATCTGAGTGAGAACGACACCGAGCAACTGTGTGCCCGGATACACCACAATTATAACACGGTGGTGCTGGGTTCGTTCCGACATGGTGCACAAGAATCTTCTTTCCTATCCAGTTGATGAACTTCACTTTGTCCAAAAACGATGGACACCCTGGGGAGTTGAAGTAAATCTCCCATGCCCCCGTCTGGAACATTTGGCGTCTGTACTTCGGTTCTTGGAACGTAATGTAGCTGCCTGAGAACCTCGAGCGAATAAAGGCGTCTAATGCTGCCTCATCCATAAATCGCGATACGTTGAGAAGCTTTACTCGGTAGCGACCATGCTGCTGTTCATTGCGCACTCCGTCTACACTAATTTGACGCCTCCAAATTCTCGCACTGCGCTGCTTTGGAGTATCACCCGGTTGGCCGTCGGCCGGTCTGGCATTCAACAACAGAAAACGGCGGTTGCGAAATGGTACACTCTTAAACACGGCTGACCAGCCTGTGCTCGTTTCTCGCGTCTAGAAGAACATGTGCACTGAGTGCTGCTGAGAATTGTATCACACTTGCTTGGTTTCGCCTAGCATCTGGGTGAGTTTGGCTTGATCCATGTCGCCTCGCTTGGCGCCTTGAAGAATAGCCCCCACCAGTCGCTCTCTCGTTTGAAAATCGGGGTAAACGGGGAATTCCATAGGTAGCTGGAAAGACAGTTCTCCTTCAACTTGTGCATATATCGTGTTCTGGATTGCTCTGAGCATGTCATTCTCACACGTCCTCTTTAGAAATTGAGGTAGTCCTTGCGCCAATATGTTGCCTTCGAGTAGACCTTGTGTTATCATCATCTCCACTGATGTTGGTGCGCGTAATGCAACCGGGAAATCATGCTGTTCAGTGTACGCCGCCCGCATTGCTTCTATCTCCTCGGATGAATACACGTCACTCCGAAAGCGCACAATCGGGTTCGCTTCTTCCATTGGATCATCTTCCTGGCTATCCGCTGCTCGTGCTAACGGGTTCGCAGACCATGGGTTAGATGTGGTTGTAGTACGGACCTTCATCTCGCTCTCTCTTAGTTCAATCGTATCCAGTAGAGAACGACGCGAGCCGTAGATGGATTTCGTGAGATCACGAAGCCGGTTCTTCCACTGCTGGCACATTGCTCCATCCTCCATGACCTGGACCCAAAACAGCCGTAGGAGCCCATCTAATTCGACTTGCAACAGCGTCGGAAAGTGATCTTTTTCCTCTGGTAACTCGCCACTGTCATGCATCTTAAAGACGGTTGTGAACATCTGCTGCATGAGGTACCGATCCTCAGAGCTGACCGACACGGGAGTAACGGCTTTTGTATCCCCGGTGGTGGCTTGAACATGGCTCAGAAAGGTATCGAACAGTGTCGGGAACGGTAGCCCATGTGAGGCCGCACCTGGTGGTCCATCTCGAGGCTCTTCTTCTGGTTCTTCTTCCGTCGAATAGTTTTTGTCAGTTTTTCTTGTTTTCTAATTTTTCTGGTTCTTCTGGTTTTGCTCTTCTTCACATTGCGCTGTTTCTGGTGGTGATGGTGGACTGGAAAGTGGACACGCTGGGCCAAGCTCAGTCGTCTCTTCATCATCTGCCGTATTGCCACTCTCCTTTCCAGCTGTAGCTGCTTCCTGCTTGCAATCACCGCTATCCAGGGAGGAACGCCCTCAGCTGCAGCTTCCTCCATCTTCTGCCTTGCTCGCACCGGGCTTGTATCGGGGGGATCACCTTGATCTCCCATTAGGACAGCACTTCACAGGGTCGCGGCGCTCTCAATAGAAGGTCGTATAGTTCAGCCAAGACAAATCTTTCGCTGGAGGCCTGTGGATGGCTCCGTTTGTTGCTTCGTATGGGTCACTCCCAATACCCACGGGTTGATCTTGGCCTGCTGTCGCTTTGACGGTTCGGCGGCTAAATCGGGAGTGCGCGAAGCAAGGCCAGAAGTGTCCAGTTTGACCGACAAGTGGGTGGTTGCGGAGTCATTGAACATTTTCCCAGGTCTATTGTGAAATTTCCGATATAGCGCCAATTAGATCAATCCTACGCCCCGAGCTAAGCTATTCAGACTTGCTAAAGTATTTAGTGAAGATCACCTTCAATAGCGAGTAGATAATCTCGGTTGGTACGAGCTCAGTCTTCGACAAGTGTATCATAGCAAAATCGTGTAGTGCTAAGAGTCTGATAGAGCGCTGACAAACTCGTTTTAAGGTCTAAAACATATACCCAAAAAGTTTCTGAATCACTCAGCTTTGTGCGAAAGGCCCCGCGGGCTTGCTATAGCTACATGCCCGCTAGCTCGTCTTTGTCGGTTCCTATTCTGGTCCATGCTGTGCTAATAGATACATAGCACTTTCCTTCTCCGCAGGTGATACACCTTCAACAGAGCTGCATCACCACAAATTGCTGCAAATGCTGGCTGAAATCCGAATCCCCACATGATCGCAAGTCAGCGTCTTATGTTCGACAGCATGCTCTGTCATCACTGATGAGTCTCATACATGTAAAATCCGATCGGTTCTTCCAATCCCGATCGGAATGTGTTGCCTCGTGGACAGCGATACTGGCGTTTCGAGTCGAGAAAGCGCACTGTGATTCAGTTTGCAATTTGCCCAACACCATCCAAAGTCCCGCAACAAGGAATCATGAAGTTCGCCGCCGCCGCCGCCGCACTCATCTCATTCGTGATCGTCGGCACTTCCGCCGATGGTGGCTCCAGCGCCTGCCCCGGCGAAATATGCCCCCTGAGGCCCCTCCCGTTTGCGGAAGTAACGGCGTCACCTACAACAACCAATATGAGTTCGACATTCAAAACTGCGACAACGGGGGGATCCAAGTGGACAGTGCTGCACCAGGGCACGTGCAACAGGAGCGAGGGCGGCAAATAATTTCAAGTCGGTTGCCAAGGCTCAACTTGCCAGCGCGTTCGTTACCCCTATGACGGGCCAAAAGGGTTTGCTGTCCCGGACGACTTTTTCACACTACAACTGAATAGGACGTGTACCCATAGGGGGAAATGGCATCGTCGCAAGACAATTTAATGGCTTTGAATTTCGTTCGAGTGATTCCCCTCTTCATCTATTGCTGTGAACTTTAAACACTTACCAAACGTGAGCGAGCCTTATTGGCGTTTTGCTAACCATTTGTTTGTGTATACTACTAGAGCTTGATGCTTTAACCTGAAGCGCTCTCGTTGCTTACGATGGCAGGGAATTATACAGTGACGCAAGTTGGCTAAGTTTACATTTAGATTCACTATGCCCAACTGCAGCACCGTTGTAATTCGTCACTACGTTGAAGCTACAGTGACGAATTTCCTTTCAGTTCCAAATCAACACCATAGCAGGATGGCTGCTTCGTGCGTGGCTTCCCACGCTGCTCCCCAGTCCCCCCAGCCCTTCGAGGAGCAGGACAGGACAGCGCTCACTCGCGCGTGGATCGCGGCGGCGGAGGAATACGCGACGCAGACGTCGACGGCCTCCCTCAAAGACGCCCTCGGTCGTCCTGGAGTCTTCTGGGACAAAGTGCAGGCAAAGTACAACGCAGTCAGCGGTAACGTCCCGGGCCTGGAGGGAGTGGAGCGGCAGTGGTTCGGGTCGGCGAAGGGTGGGGTGTTTTCGAAATCTGCTGGGTTATCAGCATGTCATACGCGGCACCTTCCACAACGAACAACATTGCAGAGAACATGGGGCTGCTTATGGGGTTAAAGGCCTGTCATCGCCACAATTGGAGACCACTCCACGTGGTTGGTGATAGCAAAATTATCATCCATCAACAGCAGAAGCGGCGACCACCAAAGGCTAAACACCTCACTCAGCTATACTGGCAAAGTCGGCGGGTTGCGGATCAACTGTCGGTCATCAGCTGGCAGCATCACATACGCGATTTCAACAATATGGCCGATGCGCTCGCCAACCTGGCGATGAATACACGGCGTAGCATGTAATGTGAAGTGGAGTGTCCTCTTGGTGCTGCTCACGCAGAGATGGAAGCAACGACAACACTCAGCTGGGCAGCAAAAGCCACCTTGTTGGTCGTGTGTATATTCTCAACTGAGGCCTAGATTCTTCTCTTTCACCTTTTGTCTTACTCCTACTGCAAGTAGTATAGTGGGGATCAGTATAATCCGCAACAGCCCCACCTACGGATTCCCATCAACTTGCATCTCCAAATCTTGCCCTTGGCAATAATCCCATTGCAGCTCTGTGTTTTTCAAATGCCGGACGTGCCAATGGCTTTGTAAAAGCATCGGCCACGTTATCAACTCCTGGCACCCGAAGCACGTCAATTTCCTTCAAATCGATGCGCTCACGCACGAAGTGGTGGCGCACATCGATGTGCTTGGTCCGAGAATGAAACACAGGGTTGCTGGCAAGCTTCTTTGCACTTTCGTTGTCAACAAAGACTTGGGATGGCTGAATTTGCTGCACCTGCAGCTCCTTCAGCATTTGGCGCAAGTGCACCACCTCCTGCACCAGTAGACTAAGAGCCATATATTCGGCCTCGGTCGTGTGCAGCGCGACGGTCTTCTCCGTCTGGCTGCTCCACGAAATGATGCTCCCACAAATTGAGTCACGTAGCCTGCAACAGACTTTCGATCATCAACTCGATTTGCAAAATCCGCATCTGCGTATGCTCTCAGATGATCATCCAGCTTTTGATCTGACCACGCTAGGCCACCAAGCTGGACCCCCCAGTCCGCTGTGTCTTTCAGGTAGCGCAATCCACGTTTTGCAGCTCTCCGATGCAACAGATCTGGGTTTTCCAAGAACTGACTGCTAGGTAGGCCAGATCGGGTCGGGTACCGAGCATCAGGTACATCAGGCTGCCAACCACAGCACGATATGGCTTCGATCTCATCAGTTGCCTTTCATCGTTTTCGGTCGGACACATGGCCTTGCTCAGCTTCAGATCCGCCGTGCTTGGGGTCTTGAAGCCATTGCAGTCCTGCATGTTGAACCGCTTGAGCACGGTCTCGGCATACTTCTGCTGACCAATGAACATCGTTCTCTCGGCCCGGTTCCGCGTGATCTCCCAGCCTAGAATGTAGTGTAACTCCCCGAGATCCTTCATCGCAAACCGGTCCTCGAACATCTTCTTCATCTTGTTGATGAGCTCCATCGACGGAGCAAACAAAATCAGATCATCAACATAGAGAGGGATGAAGACCAACTGCCCATCAATTACTTTAACAGCCACGCAGGCCTCCGACTGCAGCATCGTGAAGCCCTGCTCCTCCAAGAACGACTTGAGCAGCTGAAACCACACTCTGGGCGCCTGCTTCAATTCGTACAGGCTCTTCTTTAATCTGCACACCCAGTCCTCTTTGCCTTTCACTTTGTAGCCTTCAGGCTGCTCCATATAGACCTCCACGTCAATCGCCCCATTCAAGAAAGCAGTAGTGACATCCATCTGATGCACTTCATAATCCCAGACAGCCGCCAGTGTCAAGAGAACACGCAGTGTCTCCAGCCTCACAACAGGCGAGTACACCTCTAGGTAGTCGATACCATAAAACTGCATGAAGCCCTTGATCACGAGCCTCGCTTTGAAGCTTTCGATCTCTCCGTTCGCTAGATACTTGACGCGAAAGATCCAGCGATTCTGCAGCACTTTCATGTGCTTCTCACGCGGCAACAACTCCCAGGTATCGTTCTTCATCAACGAATCAAACTCATCATCAGCTGCATTTTTCCATTGCAATGAGTGCTCACTCTCCATAGCGTTACCGAAAGTATCTGGCTCTTCAAACTCGCCAATACTCATGCAGCAATAGTCCTCCCACCATGCAAGGATCAACTCGTTCGCCATAGCACGTTGAAACTCAGCTCGTGCTTTCCTCCATCCAGCAGGCAACGAGTTCACATCATCATCTGGATTTGTATTTTCGTAGGCAATGTAGACGTAGTCACCGAACCACGTGGGCGGTTTACTTACCCGACCGCTCCGTGTCACTGGAGGGTCTTTAGGGCGAGTGCCTCTCGGGCCTGTGTACTCACGAAGTGCTGTGCAAGGAGGCGTTGATAGACGCCCCACACTCGCAGCATCACTCGACACTTGGCTGTCCGAGTCGGCCCGCTCAGCAGCCGATGACCTGCTGTCCACCTCTTCCACCTCTTGACTCCCTGGTAGAGCCCTCGTTTCGTCAGCAGCCGGTCCCTTGTGCCGCCCACTGCTGCGTTTCCTCTTTCTCCTTCTTTTGGAATTGCCTGGCACGCACTCACCTCGCAGGTGGTCTGCCTCATGTCCATTAACACGTTCCTCATCACGTTCTGCCACCTTGCAAGAACGATCACATCCAGATGCTGTAGAGCTCACTCCACGTCCTTCATCTCGTTCTGCCACCTTACTAGAACGTCCACTTTCAAACACCGCAAACCGCACTCTCTTTGGTCGAGGCGCTGCGGCATCACCACCGGGGCCTCTCTTCTTGGACCCACATGCCCCATCTGACCGGACATCTTGCTCAACTGCCCCACCTGGTCGGTCATCACATCGGGTGTCATCAGCCCCACCAGTCCGATAATCACCTCCGTCTCTGGAGTCGCTGGCCCCACCAGTCCAGCAATCTCCATCATCACGATAACGGAGGCTGCATTTGGCGTTAATGCCGAGTCCATGAGCAATCGACCAGCTTTATTCTCATAGAACACGACATTATGGCTGTAGAAGGCCTTGTTGGTCTTGCTATCGAGCAAGCGATAGCCTCGCTTCTCTCGCGAATATCCAACGAAGACCGCCTCCCGTGCTTTCGCCTGCATCTTCCGTCTCTCCACCTTGTCGATTTACGACAGGACGGCGCAGCCGAACGTCCGCAACTTCTCATAAGCAGGAGTCTGACGGTGCCATATACCTCCATGCCTCGAACCGAGCTTGGCATAATGTTCACGGAGTATGCAGCTGTCATCGCTGCCTCACCCCACATCGCTTCAGGCAGGTCGAAGTGCACGAGCATGCATCGTATTCTCTCCGTAATGGTGCGGACCATTCTCTCCGCGACACCATTTTGCTCCGGAGTATGCTTGATGCTGCTGCCAAACTCCATACCATACTTCGTGTCACACGTACTTTGCAGCTTCTTGAACTCCTTTGCATTGTCTGACCTTACTGCTTTCATTCTGACATGCTGCTGCGTCTTGACGCGTTGATAGTACTCCTCAAACTTCTGGTACACTTCCGAACGATGCTCCAGAAGATACACGGTGACAAACCGACTGGCATCATTAACGAACACGGTAAAGTACCGTTTACCACCGTAGGAGTGCTCTGCATACGGACCCCAAGCGTCCACATGGACCTTTTCGCCAACTAACCACTCGCGGGTCTGTGTCCGAGACTTCTTCATGCTCTTCCTCGTAAGTTTCCCCTTCACACAGGTCTCGCAATTGAAACCCACCGGGATACGCAAGTTCACATGTGGCAACGGCCACTGATCATGGCTGAACAGCGCATTAAACGCGTTCTTGCCAGGGTGCCCCAATCTCGAATGCCACAGCTCCAAACTACTCACTCGAGCTGGTAGCGCCACCATGGCTACCTCTTGGGGTCTCTCCAACTTTAAGCGATAGAGATTGGTATAATCAACTTGAGCGGTAGTCACACCAGCCTGTAAGATAACATCAGCGCGATCTGCCTCATCAAAGTGCACCTTCACACGATCACGTTCAGGCAGATATTGGTTCAGTTGCCGTCGCACTGAATAGAGACTGCACTGCAGCTTTGAAGCATAACGAACTCCTCGCAGCGTCAGTGAGCACCTCCCACCAGTAGTCTCCAGCTCCTTAACCACAGTACCAATACCCTCAACACCCAGCGAGTTCTTTCCTCCAACTCGAATCCGGGCGCTAAGAGGCGTGAACTCCATGAAATCAGTGAGCTGGTTCGAAATATGACTCGATTCACCAGAGTCCAGGTACCAGTTATCATGGGCTTTGTCTGCGACAGGCTTTTTCATTTTCATCACTTGAAGAATAACATACGCGCTGTCATCACTTTCATTAGCGTAGCTACTCGTTTCAGCAGCCTTAGCACTCTTTCCTCCACTCATCTTCACGCGCTTCTGAGCTTGGGTGCTGCTGCGATCTTCAGCTGGAGGTCGCTTGCCAAGAAACGGGCAATCAAACACATGATGCCCTGCTTCATGGCAGTGATAACAAGCACCACCTGGCTTTTGTCCACTGCCGGCTTGGCCACGTCCAGTTCCACGTCCACCACCTTGACTCCCGCGACCGCCAGAACCACGTCCACCACCGGAACCGCGCCCGTGTCCTCCAGATCGACCACCACGTCCACGGCCGCGACCACGTCCTCGACCTCTTCCTCCACCAGCAAAGAACGCCTTTTCTTCATCATCATTGTCCTTGGCGCCCTCTGCTTTCCGACCTTGGCGATGGTCGTAAGCCATCTCCAATGCGAGTTCACGTTGTTCATAATTAGGAGGATCATCAGCATTTTGGGGCTTGTGACTGGCGAGAAACGTCTGTACAACATGATCATATTCGCGCGGCAGAGATCCAATCAATAGTGCTGGCTTTACATACTCGTCCACAGGACGCCCGACGCCAGCAATGGTCTCCATCAGCCGACGCATCTCGCTCAGGTGATCTGGCAAATTGCCGTTGGGAGCGAGCCGTAGCCGACTGAGCTTGGCCCTCTCCTCAGCGTACTTCAGGTACGTCTTGTCCATAAATCTCTTTTTCAGGCGCTCCATGACACGAAACGGGGTGGGTTCATACTTCGCAGTCTTCATTATGTGATTCGTCATTGCGTCGTAGATGATCTCCTTGGCGTGGGCCATCTCGCTCGTCCACGTCGCGTGCGCCTCTGCCTCCTTGCTCTCGTCCGGCTCGAGCAAGTCCTCCATGCAGTACTTCCACAGCTTCTTCCTCTCCAGCTTGAGCTTGACTCGCTCGTGCCAGACCTCGTAGTCCTTGCCGTCAAACGTCGGGATCGTCCTCTTCTCCTCGTGTGACTCCTTGGGCGTCTTCTTCTGCTCCGCCATGACGTCCTAGTTGCTGTGCTCCCCACGCGTGAGCCTTGGGCTCATAACCTGAAGTGGAGTGTCCTCTTGGTGCTGCTCACGCAGAGATGGAAGCAACGACAACACTCAGCTGGGCGGCAAAAGCCACCTTGTTGGTCGTGTGTATATTCTCAACTGAGGCCTAGATTCTTCTCTTTCACCTTTTGTCTTACTCCAACTGCACGTAGTATAGTGGGGGTCAGTATAATCCGCAACACAATGTAAACCCGCTCGAGTCATCGGCTCCGACTCGATCTGGGAAGATCTTCATGCCTACGCAGCCAGTGACGTGGGGCACTGGCTGGAGCACATCAGCGATGAGAACGCTTCGGGGTTCGGGGCCTTCACACCTTAACGGTTGGGGGCAGCCCTGAGTGTGTAGCCACTAGGGGTAATAAAGCAGGGAGATCGGTTTGAGACGACCTCCGTCAAGGTCATCGATGTCGTTAGCCACGAAGTTAAGTGACAACAATGTACCTCAATGCCAAAACAAAACAGTCAGCGGTAACGGCAGGGCAGCTGAAGAACTCCTGACTCAATGGCGGCAGATGCTGCAGCCATTGACCGACTTCCTCGAGCTTTTCCAACACAAATACTTCGAGTCGAGACCCAACTTCCGGTACGACGACGCCTGCGTGGGGCAGTCGTTCAAGTGGGCGACTGTCCAGTTCCGAGCCAAGACCGGGGCCAAATTCCCGCACGTGGCGGCTGCGACGCAGCTCACGAGCCACAACAAGTGGTGGAGCGTGCTCAAGCCGCTCGTCATGCTGCAGCGAGCCTCTTCAGTAGAGCAGGAGGAGGGGGGAGAGGAAGAGGAGGGGGCATTGGTAGTTTCTGGGCTGCAGTCAACAATTGCATCCAAGCGGACGAGAAGGGAAAAAGAAGATGGTGGGGATGACGAGAAGGACAGTCGACGTATGAGACAGCGAGTGGAGCCCCGGGAAGTTGAGCTGCCAATGTCTCCGTTCAGACCGCAGAGTCCCGGAATCGTGTCGCCGCTGCCGTGGAAAGCGACCCACTCGAATTTGGATGAGGTGAAACTGCGGAAAGTGGTGGCGATGGAGCGTCGCCTGGATCTCGACACCATGACGCAGGGAGAAGACGGACTTTCGCCTGAGGCGCAGGAGTATCTGCGGTGGCAGCGTCAGCAGATTTTAAGGAAGATGCGAGAGGAAATGAACGACGTCGCTACCACGTAAAGGAGACCAGTGGTGACATCGCTACGATCTGCGCTGTCGGGTCGATCCATATCTACAGAAGATAATATCACTGCAGGATTATTATGAACATCATATTAGAAGAAGAAAAAGTTGATGAACTAGATAATGGATATGCAGTTTCGCTAGCTACGGTAAGTTATGGTAATATCTACTTGGACAACTCAATTATGGCCGCGGAATCCAAATTCGACAACCCTGTTGGGGTAAACTAATTGGTTTGCGTGCATCAAACCCAAGTCGTTGAAGCTATGAACATCATATTAGAATGCTCTAATCGACGAATGACTGACGATTTTCTACGATTACCGCAAATAACCCTATAAGAAATTCGCGAGACCACTGTTTCGACAGTGTATATTGCAACACGCATGCTCTTTCTCCCGATCGAGTTAACCGCGTATTTATTCTCATGGTAGTGCTTCTTTGGAAAACAAGAATTTTCAAAATTTGAATGCCCCCTTGAGCAAAATGCTAAGAAAAAGGAAGTTAGTACACAATTATGGCCGGGTATGGTTACGAAAATGCTACGAGAAAAAACCTCGCTACTGTTCGCTTGGGGGCTGCTAGTTTGCATACAACATACATGTACACAAAATGCGTTTTCGGGACATTTTTGGCGTCAAAATGGAGCCAGTATCTGTAGTTGCCCACAATGGAGTTATTAACCCAGGAAGTTGGAGTCCGCGCTGCCAGTCCGATGAACGCTCTCTGGTTTGATGCCCATCGAATTCCACTTTTCAAACTGCGCGAACTGCAACGTGCGCGCCATGTCTTTTGAGCTCTCGTTCCATATGAGTTGTTGAGCAACTTTGCCAGGTCTCGCTCGCCGTAAATATTCGTCAACACCTTGATCTCCGTTGTTTTGACGTCTGGTTTTCTGTTGAGCACAACCACGAAGTCCTGCCAAGCCCTGAAAAAGCTTTCAACTTGACCAGTTCCGCGACTTTGTTAGTGACATCTCTCTCTTCGTCTTTGCCCTCCGGGTTGTCAACTCGCACTGTTCTTTCGGCAGGGGCGTTGTGCTCAGCAGCAGCGAACGAGCGAGCCACATCAATAGCTGGATGTTTGAGCGAGACCATTTTCGCGGTAGTCGTTGGCGTGCCACCGGCAATTGAGATGAGAACAGCAGAAGCCAGTAGAGTGATGATATCGTGAGGAAGCATCGTGTCGCTCTTGGCCGACTACAGTGAGACAACATGTACTTGGGGTGCAAAAGACGGATTGTTACTTTGCTTTGAGTTGTCTCGTCAATTTAGCTGATGGGCAGCATTGGATATGTTACTCTGAGCCTCAGGCTGAGGCCTTCAGCCCGAGGGAATTTTAGATTGCCGTAAATTTCTTTGGTACCATTGATGCAGCTCGTCTTCTTGAGCTTCTTGAACATCTTCATCTCCAGCACCGAGATCTTGCGGTACGTCTGAATCAGGAACTGAAATTTAAAATTAAAATGATAACGATCTTGCGTGGCCCTGGAAAGAGAGATGTACACGTGTTTGCTTCTTTGGTAGGCACTTCCACAGCCTCGAATTCAACTGGAATTATATATCTAGCATATGTGCCATCACTAGTACTGTACATGTAGAATAATTAAAAAGAAAAAAGTGAAAGTAGTTAGCGGAGGTTCGCCCACTCCAAATTTCGTGATCGATTTTACGACTCGGTCGAGATAATTCTAGCGTCGACAAAGAATTCTGGCCCACGGAGGCATACGCCAGAAGCATTCGACTATTGGTTGTTTCGACTTGTCTTGCCGAGTTCCGATCCACCCGTCCCTCATTGTGGCGCATTTTGTTCTCCTCTTCCACATCCAGTTCAGTAGGCAAGAGGTATTTTTCACGGCCATGTCCTTCTCTCAAGTTTATCTTTCAACCTCAGACGGGCTTAACGTGGAACTGAGGCATTCATTTACTCATGACATACCGGTTTTTAGTTTCTCGTCGGTCACAGCCACCTTGTCAGTCGCGGACGGCTTCATAATTGCAAACCTTTTATGAGACCTTCTCCGGCTTCACAAAATCAATTTCAAGCTTTCAAAGTGCGGGAGATATACTTGATCAGATTCTTCAAGGCAGAAGATTGACCACAATTTCATGTTGAGATTGGACACTCTTGAGTTCACCAGCCCGCTCTTCGTAACGTACTTCCAGACCATCAGCTCGTAGCATCCTATTCGCGTAAGGATCGGACTGGGGGTAGTCAGCCACAGCCACCGACCACTGCATGCGCAGCATTGCAGTGCCAGGTTCAGGAGTAGATGCAGTGCTCACTCGAGTCGCTGGCGTTAACAGTAAAAAAATAACAATAAAAATCGCCCTGGGGGTTAATGCCTCGGCAACAGGAAGTGCCACAAAAACGAATCGTGAGGAGAAAGGGTTTGAAATACGGTGTGCTTTCCGACCAGTGAGGCTTGTTGGCAGCATCTGCTCGGTCGTCATTCATGAGGAGACCCTCCGAATGTCAAATCCGTTCGGTCCTATTTACCTGCGAATCGCGCCGATCAGTTTCCAATTTTCTCAACACATAAGCAACAGCCAAGTACCACCTCGCAAGGACCCATGAAGATTGCCTTCTGGTTTCTCCGTCGGTGTCTGGGTCTGGGGATATCTGGGGCCGCTCAAGAACAAGGCGGGTAACCAAGTTCCGCTCAAGGACAAGGCGGGTAACGTAGTTCCGCACAAGATCGAGAAGATCGGTGGTGCCGTCAAGGCGGCGCCACGAGACGAAGGGGTCACGTCGTAAGCCGGGCCTAGTCGTGTGGCCGACGACGCCAGTCGCCCGCGACTCCGAGCCTCCAGCCAAGGCTCCAGCCGCCGAAGAGTGTTATCACATCTTCGACGGCGTGACCGGTCGTCGGGTCAAGACAGGAGCTGTCGAGCTTACAGCTCTGCCCGAGGTTTCAGAGTTGCTGAACCTTGAGGAGCTCGCCATGGAGGACTTCTTGGCCGAGCTAAAGGCCGGGGAGATCGCAGAGTTGGTTCTCCTCCGACCGGAGTCCACGTCGGCCGAGTTGAACTCGTCCTCGGTCATGGACCAGGCAGTCCTGGAGGAGTTCCAGAGACAGCGCGCGTCGCGCATGGGCTCTGAGATTCTTAAGAACCCCCGGGACCCGGTGTACCCCTTGGTGAAGGAGTTTGAGGACGTGGTGTCCAAGGATCCACCGTCCAATCTCCCTCCGGACAGGGGAATCAGGCACGAGATCGATCTCGTGCCGGGCACGAAGTACTGTGTCACGAGGCAATGGCCTCTTCCCCGGGAGCAGTGTGAAGTCATTGATGCCTTCTTTGCTGCCAAGGCAAAGACAGGCATGGTGCGGGAGTCGAAGTCCCCGCACTCGACGCCTACCTTCTGTGTTCGCAAACCGAACGGAAAGTGGCGTCTGGTTCATGCTTATAACAAGCTGAACAGCGCGACAGTGCCTGCGCAGACACCGATCCCGCGCAAGGACGTGTTGCTCAACAACATGGCCGGCTGCACGCTGTATAGCGCGCTGGACCTGGTGGACGGATACTACCAGATCCTGATGCGCGAGAGCGACATCCCACTCACGGCTGTGAGCACGCCGAGCGATATGCTCTGGGAGTGGCTGGTCATGCCTCAGGGGCTTTCTAACGCCCCGGCAACGTTCAATCGCTTGGTCACACAACTGTTCCGACCTTTGCGTGCGTTCACACAGACGTACTTTGACGACATCTTCGTCCACAGCCGTACCGAGGCAGGCCAGACGGCCATGGAGGTGCATCTCCAGCACCTTCGACGTGTGTTCGAAGTCATGCGGGCGAACAAGCTGTACGCCAACATCGACAAGTGTGTGTTCGCAGCTGAGGAGATCAAGGTCCTGGGCTGCTTCGTCAGCAGCGCCGGGGTCCGGGCGGACCCGGAGAAGGTGAAAACCATCGCGGCTTGGCCGCCACCTCGGTCGCAGAAGGACCTACGAAAGTGGTTGGGCCTCGCCAACTACCTGCACAAGTATAGTGCAGGCTACGCCGATCTGGCACGGCCCTTGTCGGATCTCCTGAAGAAGGATGTCGACTGGCGCTGGGAGCGTCGCCATCAAGATGCTTTTAACGACATCAAAGCGAGCTTACAGCGCGCGCGAGTCCTGGCATTGCCGGACGAGACGAAGCCTTTCAGCGTAAGCTGTGATGCGTCTGACTACGCAATTGGCTGTGCGCTATTGCAGGTCGACGATGAAGGCCGCGAACGGGTCATCTCGTTCCAGTCCAGGCAGCTCAAGGCAGCCGAACGGAACTATCCAGTCCACGACAAGGAGCTACTTGCCATGAAGTACGCTCTTGTCAAGTTCCGAGTGCACCTGCTGGACTCGACGCCCTTTGTCGTTTATACAGACCACGCGTCCTTGCGGACTGCCGTCAACACGCCGCATCTCTCACAGCGGATGGCGCGTTGGCTGTCATTCTTCGCGGAATACAACTTCCGTGTCGAGTACAAGCCGGGCAAGTTGAACGTGCTTGCCGACGCGCTGTCGCGCCGACCCGACTACGAGCTTGCTCATATTAGTCGGGTCACGACGGATCTGTATGATCGCATCAGGCTGGGGTACCGAGACGATGCCAGTCTCGGACCTCTTGTGCGGTTCTTGGCCGCTGGCTTGGAAGCCAAGGCCGAGTGGCTCACGCCCCGACAACGTGCAAAGCTGCACCGCTATGAGTGGGCTGACGGTTTGCTCCACTATAGGGTCGAGCCCGAGGATCCTCCCCGTATTGTCGTGCCCAACGACGAGGATCTCAAGTACGACATCCTGATGGAGGCGCACGACGCTCCATCCAGTGGCCATCTCGGCCGTGAGAAGACGTACGCGTCTGTCTCGCAGATGTTTTGGTGGCGTCACATGTACAAGTGGGTCGCCACCTACGTCCGTACGTGCGAGACGTGCCAGCGCGTGAAGCCTGCCGGTCACGCCTCGGCACCATTGCAGAGCCTGCCGGTCCCAGCGGACTGCTGGAAGTCGATGAGTCTCGACTTTGTCTTCGGACTTCCGGCTGATGACCGTGGCAACACTGGTGTTGTTGCCTTCGTGTGCCGTCTGAGCAAGATGGTCCACTTTGCTCCAGTTCGTGACACCGTCACTGGCGACGAGGTCGCTCGCCTGTTCGTGGACTGTGCCTTCCGACACCACGGTCTGCCCGAGACCATTGTCTCTGATCGAGACCCGCGGTTCACCGCTACGTTCTGACAGACGCTGTTTCGCCTTCTCGGCACACGACTGTCGATGTCGACGGCGGACCACCCGCAGACGGATGGCCAGACGGAGCGCGTCAATCGCGTGCTCGAAGACACGCTCCGCAGTATCTGCGCGGAGATGCTCCGCTCTTGGGCTGATCGCTTGCCCATGGTTGAGTTCGCACTCAACAATGCGGTACATGCATCGACGGGCTTTACGCCCATTTACCTGAACGGGTTGCGCCACCCTCAGGTGCCGCTCACATTACGAGGCAGTACCGGGGCTTCGGTCCTAGGTGGGAGAGAGGCTCGGAAAACCTTTTCCTCCCAAGTCTCGGACGTGAGTCCAGCCACCTTGCTGAAGCAACTGTCCTCGTTTGCCGAAGACAGGCTGAACATAATCAGCAGGGTGCGAGACACCATGGCGCAAGCCCAAGATAAACAGAAGGAGTACTCTGACCGAAATGGAAGAGGAACCATGAACGTGTTTAAGGTTGGGGATTTAGTTCTCCTAGATACTAGAAACCTACCGCTAAACACTGTTAGCTCGGTCGAGAGCAACAAGCTGAAGCACCGCTTCATTGGACCCTTCACGGTCCTCAGCTGGCATGGCGCGGCGTACACCATAGACTTGCCCAAGTCGATGACGACTCACCCGACGTTTTACGTGGGTCGTCTTAAGAGGTATCATGACCCTCTGGCTCTGGCTGCCCCGAAGGAAGCGGTGGGTGGCCCGGTGGACAAGAGCGCAGCTCCTCGAAGCGCGGCGTCGGGTCGCGGTAAGGCGCCTGATACGCGCGCTGGTCGTAAGACGGCGCGGCGTGCATCGGAGCAGCATACGCAGGGGCCCCGTACGAGCCCTGGCCAAACTGGGCCTGATACGAGTGGGACTGCTGCTGCTCCGGATACGGCGCGTGGCCATGAAGTTCGGCTCGAAGGCCAGCGAGCTGGTTTCGCAGCGAGTCGTAAGACGACAGGTCGGCTCGACGATCCACACGGCCATGGAGACTGCGAGTTTCTTGATAGAGCGAGGCAACATCCTCACGGAGCCGCTCCACGGCACCAGGCTGACCAGCACGAGCGGCAGCCTCGCCACCAAGACCGACGCCAAGCGCGATCTCGAGGACGTACACACGGTCCCGGAGAAGACGAATCTCCTCTTGCTGCAGGGCCTCCACCTGACTCGGGGCCCCAGCATACGGCTGCGTCGCCTCAGGCTCGTAGCCATGGCCGTGCGAGGCCACCGCCGGCCCTCCTTGATCGTAATGGGCAGATCCACTACCACGTGGAACGGGTCGTCCGGGAGCGGCGGCTCCATGGCAAGCGCCAGCTGCTCGTGAAGTGGAGGGGTTTCCCTGAGTCGGATAACTCGTGGGAGCCCGTTGAGCAGCTCCAGGCAGACTGCCCGAAGGCTGTTGCTTTATGGGACGAGAAGCAGCGGCAGCTTCGTAAGTAGCCCTTGGCTTCTTGGCCGGTACCCGGGGCACGGTAGCAGACGTAGTCGCACCACGCCCACGCTCTTCACGAGCTTTAGCTCTCGCCTCTTGCTTCAGCTCATCCATCTTCGAGTGGAGCTTGCGCTTGCTCACGAGTTGAGCGAACTCGATGCGGAGCTCGCGCACGTCCAGGATTGCGGACAGTGCGCAATCCTCACGGAGTTCGTTGAACTCTTGGTCGGAATACCCTTTGCGCTGGACGTAGCGCCAGAAGAGGTCTTCCACCTCGCTCCAGGTCATGTTGACATTCGGCTTGACCCAGTGGAAACCCCACACAGGATGGAGTCCACCCTTGTCCTCCAGCTTCTTGCGAAGCGTGGTGAACTCCTTCAGTGTGAGCTTGTGTGGTGCTAGTAGCACACACCGGGCGACTTCAACGTCGCCAAGAAAGAGGGGCTCTTTCTCAACAAGAGCACGCTCATAGGAACCCCTCGAGGTGTACCCGCCGATATGGCCACGAGGAGCCGAGAGCTTCACCAACAGCGCTGGCGCACCAGTGCCAGGCTCGGGCGGGAAGTAGCCCTGCGGGTACGTGGCATCCCCGCCTGAAGAAGACTCGATGGCAGTCGTGGCAGTCGGCTGCCTGGCATACGCACCCGAGCTATCAGCGTGGTATTGCTGCTGCTGCTCGTCGAGGTTGTTGGAGAGCTCCTTGGGCTCGTGAACGGCACCCTCATCGTCCTCAGACTCCGAGTCGATGAACAGCTTGGAGCTGGAGCCGCGAGGCGACCTGGAAGCTGAACGCTTCTTCGCCTTGGCCTCGGCGGCCTTCGCAGCGGCAGCCGCTTTCGACGCTTGGGCACGCTCACGACCTTGTGCCAGCGTCAGATGCTTGGATGCCAGCACCTCCTTGGGCTTGGAGCCCGCGTCGCTCGGCGACTTCTGGGCCACGACCCCAGCGTCGGCCATGGCGACTTCGTCGTGCGACTGCTTGCTGTCGCCTGAGCCGGACTCGGCGTCCTCCGCCTCCTTCTCTGACGAAGCCTTTGCGTCGGCCGAGGCGTTGGTCATGTCGCCTGCCGCCAGCTCCGTGCCCTCGGCAGCGTGCGTGCTGCCCTCCGAGACGTTCTCGTCGTCGGGTGAACTCTCACCGGAGTACTGGACCATCGTGCAGTCAAAGACGGCGGCTTCCCAGTCGCGAGCCGGGCTTTTATGGCCCCGAGGACTCTCCTCCTTGCCTCGCGCGGCGTCAGGAGACTTGCTTCGAGCCCAGGCCTGACGACCACTCTCCGGCATGCTGCTACGAGAGCGCGCCACCTCCTCGGCCGCCTTCGTGGCCTCCATCAGCGCGGACGACTCGTCCTTGGCCTTGGCCGCCCTGGTCTTCGGCCCTACGGCCCGCTGTTTCGGAGGTGCTTTCGCACTGCGCGCACTGCGCTTTGAAGGCATGCTTCCGGTCGACGTGGAGACCCTGCGGCTTGCTCGGCGATGCGCCAGCTGCTCTGTGAGGCCCGGGAGCCGAGGCGCCAGAGCTCGCGCCGTTGTCGATGGATTTTGACTTTACGAGTGAAATGTGAGTCGCCGGCGTAACCTCGCTCTGATTGGTCGATAAGATCGAATCTAAGTGGGGGAGGATGTAACGGGGTTACATGGAATAGTGACCCTGTCACTATTCCGGGATGGCTACATCGGTCACTCCCCTGGATAGTGACCCAAGTGGCCTCAGAGCCAACAGATGCATTTTGTATGACACAAACTATAGGGAACTTAGGATGTGTATGCAGGCCAAATCCTATAAATACATTCAGTCTTAGGTCTACCGCTTTTCAAGTCAAGTCGTCCCCTTCAGACCAGGGACACGTGAACGGCTGTTCACTTGGCGTTTGTATAGTCCTGCTTCCTCTGTTAAGAAGTGCTGTGTGCCCCATCACAACCAGCCTCTGCCGGTACGCTATCTTGTGCTCGTATTTAGCGCTCTAGGCCTAACCTTTTGTATTGGTTGCTATGTGTCGTAGGCGTTCGTTCATGCGCCTGCTAGAGCGATTCAGCATGTTCTACGATATCCCGGGATACAACCCCAAAGGAGGGAGGCCAAAAAAGCTTCAGAACAACCACCAGGTGCTGGGTGTCTTAATGGCCTTCTACGTGGACTCGATGGCGTACAAAACGCTGTGCGGGTACTTCGGAGTCCCTCATGCTACTCTCAGTCGTGTTCTGAATGCCGCTGAGGATGCTATGGGGCGGGCTCTAGCAGGGTTTTCCCCAGCAAGAATCGTGTGGCCTACTTTGGCCCGCCAGAAGGCATTAGCTCGACTTACTGCAGCTCGGGAACCCCTGATGTCGTTTACGTGGGGCTTTCTCGATGGGAAGAATTATCGTGTACGTATTTGGTTTTTCTTGTTTGAGAGCGAGTATGAATCGGCCAGTAACTAACGCGAGATAGGATGCTCTGAATTGTGGTTATGGTGCTAGGTTCTTGAGCCCCCCACCCAGACATTCAAAATGCGCATTACAACGGTTGGCTGCGTGCGGTTTTCGTGACGGGCACGCTGTGCTTCGGGGCGGACGGCTTGATCGTGTGGTGCAAACATAACTGCCCAGGGAGTTGGAACGACTCTGACACCAGCCTCCAGTTTCGCCAGAAACTCCTGGATGCCGAGTTGAACCCCGACCCTCGTTATGGTGTCGTCTCGGACAGCGCTTTCCCGTGTGGCGACGACATGATTGGGAGAATCTTAGCGCCGCTGAAAGAGGGAGATTTGGGGAGGCTTGTTCCGTCCGTGCGTCCTGCAGCACAACGCATGTCTGCTGCTATCACCTCAGTGCGCCAAGCTGCTGAGTGGGGCATGGGATCTATCGAGAAAGTATACCATCGCTTGTTGCACCCGCTACCTTACGATGTAGGCAAGCGTAAGCAGAGGCTCGACAATTTGTTTCGCCTGTCGAACTACAGGGTGCGAACTCTTGAGATAAGCCAGATTCGAACTTCGTTTGCGCACTGGAGAGAAGATAATGCATCAATGTATTGTTTGTTACGCTTCAATCGATCTGCTACAAGTAATGCACCCCAAGCCGCTCTTACTTCCCCCCATCTTCGCCAGGAACAGCATCATTTGGTCGTGGCGCTGTCGAGCTTCCTCACGATCGTGAGCTAGACGTTCTTCGTAGCGACGTCTGTTCTCCTCCCGTTCTTGTTCGAACCTGGCATCTCGAACTGCTTCGATGCGTCGTAGCTCCTCTCGGGCCTCTCGAGCTTCTCGCAGTTCCTCCTGGCGTCGAGCTTCGACTTACAGCAGCATCAGCACGCCGAATACGTTCATGCTCTTCGCGCTCGATTCGGCGTCTCTTCTCGGCTGCTTCAGCATCCGCTCGACGCACTTGTTCGCGTTCATCTCGCTCGGCCTTTTCAGCTGCCAAACGCTCCTCGCGCTCTGCGCGCCTGCGAGTCTCTGCAGCTTCAGTCTTTCGCTCGCTGTCTTGCTGGAAAAAGACAAGCATCTGCGTCATCTCCGCTCCTGACGCCGACCGCTTCTTCTCCAGGTAGTCAATTTCCTGCTGCATTTGGTCGAGCCGCTTTTTGGAACTGATTCGCTTGTTCCCAGCGTAGGAAGCGTTGCTGGTGGACCCGTCGGTTTTGTTGCTCTCCGAAGAAGAGGGCCCCCCGTCTGAAGTCATGAGGCCCTGAGTCATGGTGTTGAAGTTGTCACGCAGCACGCGCATGTCGCGTCCGCCCAGGCGCTTACTGGTGATACTAAGGTTTGGGTTTTCTGCCACCTCACGCGTATCATCTTGGGCACGTCCAGGGTCTCGAAGTAGAACGGGGCCGTCTGGGGAAGCGACGGTGTCCAGCGGTTGGCGTCGACTACCTCGTGGGCGACCTCGGGATGAAGCTGGTGTTGCTGGTGTTTTACTGCCAGAGACCGCCGATATACTTGTCAGTGCCCACCCTGGTTGACGGGCGTCTCGAGACACCTGGACTGACGCGGGCGCTAGCACGTCGTTGTGCGACTTGGGGGGTACGTTGGGTGTCGGGGGTGGCTTCTTCCTCAGCAACCAACGCCACATCGCCACTAGCTCCCGCAGCCTCGCGAGATGATCGGGTTCGGTTGTCTTGCGGGTCGATATTGGCGCTAACGGCTGGGGTATCTGCATTAGCGTCCTCACCAGACGAAAGAGGGGGAGGGGAAGTCGAGATTTCTCCAAAAGCCGCGTCGATAGGGCCATTGCTGGTCATAATCGTGCCTTGTGCAACAACAGGAGGCGATGGGGGCGGAGTTCGCTGGGCGTATTGGTTGATTTCATCGTCTCCGTTGCGATTCGTCCACACTTGACTCTCCCCAGATGGAGCACGCCCGTCACCGCGCTCCCTGCCGAATGCTTGATCTACCGCTGCGTCATTTTGGTCGGCCTCCTCACGGTCGTCGTCCTCACCAACTTCTCCGTCCGTCTCGGCATCAGTGACTTGCCCACCTGCAGCAGCAGCATTAGCAGTTAGCAAAGCACAACGAGGAGATGTAGCGCTTCATGCTAAGACAGACTCACCGGTAACCTGGTCCACCAGTTGGAGCAGGTGATCATCATCTTCCCCCTCATCCAGACCGCCGTGTGAGGTGTGAACGCCCCCCGAAGATTCGATCCGATATTGGATTTCTTGAGCATACGCGATAGGCCTGAGGCGAGCGGGTATCTCGCCATTTCGCCCCGTCGGCTTGGGCTTGGCGTACATTTTCCTGAACTTGCGGCGCAGGGATTCGAAGTCGCGCTCTGGCGCGTTTCGGTTTCGACTCGCGTTGTATTGAACAGCGACTTGTTCCCACATGTTGCGCCCGAGAGGCAGGACTCTGTCCACAATGGTGCACAAGAGCATCTGCTCGTGGATAGAGTAGTTGATGTACCCAGCTCGACGTCCACGCTGCACGGCAAAGTCAACAATGAATAACGTCGTAAGGCGTTCGTTAGCTTCAAAATGTGCAACCGTCGAACCGTACCGCTGCCATGGCGACCACAGCTCCGTCGTCCGAGTAGCGCGATTCCGGAAGATTGAAAATGAAGCTCTCAGTAACGATGCTCTTGGAGCAAGATCAATTTGGAGATGCAAACAACTTGACCCCACTATGAAAGCAAACGACTCGACTTCATTATGCCCCATATATATGGAATGAATCAGCTCTTCGGTTTGCACATCAACTTGAACATCACGTTGCCCATCCGAGGCGTAACGCGTCACGCCTCAACCCTTTGACGTCGGGCAGGCCCTGGTCGGACTTTCACGTCAGGAAGATGCTTGATTGCACGGTGTTGGCAACCCTCCCAACCGCAGCGGCATACAAACCACAGTTTGTTCCCGTATGAAACGGTCACCTGCTCACCTGCCTTCACGTCCCGAATCGTGACGGCGACAACACTTAGCTTCGAGCCAGTCTGCACTTCGTGGAAGCGCGCACTCGGATCACATGCATGATTCATCAGCTGCAACTTGCCACCGCATTCCAAGGCGTCAATACCCACATGCTTGTTTCCGGTAGTGCGCGTCTTCAGATGCATGCGTAAGCCTTCATTCACAGGTCCATTCTTGCACGGTGGGCCAAACAACTGGATGTGGCCGAGGTACTCGCCAATAACCTCGCCCGCAGGGATGGCCTCCTTCGCCACCAACCCCCGCATACCCGATCGCGAGCTACGCGCAATGACCAAAGCAGAACTCTCCCGAGGCGCGTTACCACAAACGCCGCCAAATGAGCAGTTGTTCCCGGTGCAGAAGTGGCTCTCCTTTGCGTTTAAGCAAGTTATGGCGTTGGAACGAGCTTCGCACCCGCATCCAGCTCCGCCACGAACTCCGATAGTGACGAAGGGGAACCTCCAGCGTCTTGGATTGAACTGGTCCGTCAGGAATTCCACGTCTGCAGGCCACGCCTCTGGAGTCCATTCCTCGCTTGTCGTCGTAGAGGAGATTTGAGCCCTCTCTCCAGAACCCTTCTGCATAGCTTCCGCCGATTGACTTGGTTTTTTAGGCAGCGACGCTATTATCGCAAGCGCCTCGGAATCGTAGCCATCAGATTCAAAGGCTTCGGAGAACCAAGCCGGAATATCCACCTCTGACGTGAAATGGTCAGCGTTACTCGGACGAGACGTGTTACTTGATGACGCCGAAGGCTTCTCCACGTGCTGCGACCGAGACATCATCGAAGCTGTAATGGGGTTACACGCACAAATGACTACAGTCACTTGTTACTCTAACAGATGCGATGTCTATAGAGGTTTGAACACTTCCTCGACCTTGGTGTAAGGTACACCAATGGCTACATACATTTACGACCGCCACGACGGGTGGTCCATACACATTCAGGATTCCTATTGGCTGAAAGCAGCATCTTTTAGCCAATGAGCGACATGTATAGCATTGGAATTCTGCCAACCAGCCGTTGGCAGATTCCTAGTTTAGAATATTACATTTAGAGGAAGTCAGAAACATAAAACAAAAATAGCAGTTCTCATCTTTTACCAAAACACGCTACTTGGAGTTTTTATCTTGTTTAAAGTATACTCGTGGATCTCGAGTATACTTAACTCAAGTAAAAGAAACCTACGCTTCCTCATACACGTGCGCATACGTGTAAGCCGTAGTAGTGAGCCAAGGTAGGCCCACTACACCTGGTAGCACTTTGTAGTCCGTCCAACGACCGACTACCTGAACGTTCGTACGGAGCTGTACGAACGAGGAGCCGAGAACCTTTTCATGAGCGCGGAGGTGCCCATGGAAAGCTCCACTTCGCCTGCAACTCATGTTGCACGCGCTAACTGCCTCCACCTGTCAGATCCAGAGTGGTAGGCACTCCAACGACTGTCAACAGTCATTGGAGAAGCGGCTGTAGCTGTAATGCTGCGCACACTATCGCCGACGGAGCAACACGGTGTTGCTCTGGGATTCATCATGAAGGAGCAGCGTGATGCTGCTTCCTCTATCACGGTGGCGTCGGGGACGACACCGCGCGAGCAAACGTTGAAGCTAAACGTGAGCAACTATGTCGGAAGAGACGGCGAGCCTCTCCTCCGTTGGCTTGTTGAACTCGACACTGCCATCGCGGCTCGACGTATCGTCGACCCGTTGTCCAAGGTTGCGTTCGCCATGTCATGTCTTGGCGGACGAGCGAGAAGTTGGGCGTATGGACGCCGACTCTCTGATCCTACGTGCTTCAGCACGTATGAGGGTTTCAAGGAAGAACTCAGACAAGCGTTTGATCCCCCGCAAAATGAGTTTCGGTCGAGGGCAGAGTTCCTCGACCTACAGCAGGGTAAGCATGATGTCCATGCTTACGCGCAGAAAGCACGGTACTTGGTCTCGAACATTGTGACCAACCCGATAGACGAGGCGACCAAGGTCGTCACGTTCATGAAGGGTCTGAGAGATGGGCCTGTAAAGACCTATCTCTTCCGTGACTACCCAGGTACTCTCGAAGCTGCGATTACTCTTGCGATGCAGGAGGAGTTTAGTCTGAGGCAGGCTAAACTACATGCGAATGCGCCGAGGCTGCAACCGCCTCCGGTCGCGATAGCGGGAGGTCCGGAACCAATGGACCTCTCGTATGCAACGGCTGTTGGTTATCAACAGCAACAAGGAAGTAATGTACGATGCTTCCGTTGCGGAAGGACCGGTCACTATGCCCGAGAGTGCACGGCACCCGTGCACCGAGATGGTGGTCGACGCGGCGATGCCGGGCATCGTCGTGGATAAACAAAAAACGCTGGAACCCAGTAGGCGCGGGGCGCCCTACTGGTAATGCAGTTCCGCGTATCGACCTTGGCCACGCGACACTGAGGACGGCAGCCCCCAGTGAGGTTCATTCTCACTGCAAGAAGCAAGATGACAGGCCTGACCTTGTCATCCTGAATGTGAACTCGATGAGAGCAAGCGGCTCTCTCCGTGCTTTGGTAGATTCTGGCGCGTCGAAGAACTTTGTTCGACTGCGAAGTCTATCAAGGCTTGACTTCGAGGATTTAAAGATACCTCGAAGTATGTTGGAAGTACGACTGGCAACGGGTGCCGTCGTGAAGACCGAGAAGCGCATGGTACGCGTGCGCTTCACGTATGAAGATCAAGCGTTTGTCGAGATCTTTATCGTCCTGGATCTGGACGATAAGTTTGACATTGTATTGGGCATGCCGTGGCTTGCACGGCATGATCCGGTCATCGATTGGGAGAAGCGCACTCTCGTGCGCTTCGGTCGCGACAGCGGAACAGTGAGCGATGGCCCTGTTGCCGCTACGCACGCACCGACAGGTGCGCGCGACTCCCCACTCGAGACAGAGGCTAATGCCGCTGTCCCGGAGCGCCCTGGGCGCGCGCGAGCACACGCGCAAGAGCAGCAAGCGTCGGCGTCGCCGCCGACGGCGAAAGGAGAAAATGTGTTGATCTCGGAGATCGACACCCGCTTCTCAGCGAATCAGGAAGAGTTTCCGACCCAAGGGGTACGGATGACGCAGGCGAGTCGCACACCTCAGCCGTGGAGGCTGACGCGATTCTGATTGGATCAGTTTTGGCCAATAATAAGAGCCAAGGTGACGAAACGCCGTCGACTCCGGGAGTCGATGGCTTGGGTGAATTTGATTCGTCGGCTCGGGGAGCCGACGCACCCTCCGTAATGGAGGGCTCCGCCAATAACAGGCGTCGAGGTGAAGATGGCGTGTCGACTCCGGGAGTCGACGCTGCAAGCGGTGCGGACGGTTGCAAACGTCCCGCACCGGAAAAACTTGCATGCTGTCGTGCAGCCGGGTTGCACGACGAAGCGCCGGGCGACCACGCCGGGCTTGAAGCCGCTCGCCCGCGGGATGAGCCCGCCGGCGGTACTAAAGAAGAACACCCGTTCACGGCTGGGCCTGGACGAGGTCAAGAACCAAGCGGAGCCGGGCTCCGCAAAACAAGAAGACAGCGCATGCGAAGATCGCTGCGCAAGTCTCGGCCTGGGGCCGAGACGCTACAAGGAATGTCTGCCGGGCAGACGGGGGCTGAGAAGCCGGACGTCGAGACGTTGAACGTCTTGACGCGTACCTGTGCCGGGTTCCGGTACAGGGAGATGACCCTCGCTAACCCTCCGACGCAAGCGTCGGAGTTGACTTCGCTTCCAGTCATGAGCTGGAAGCGCTTCGCGCGTGACTTGCACGATGGACGCATCGAGCAAATATGCATTCTCTCGGACGCCGAGAGAACGAAGAGCGAGAATGAAGAACTGAGGCAGTTCTTCATGGAGACCACCACTGAGAGTGAGGACACTCTCAGTGCGAAGACTAAGAAAGAGCGCTTTGAGGAGCAGAGCTGGGACTCGCTGAGGTCGAGTCCCTTCTACGAGATTCTACGGGAGCACGCGGACGTGCTTCCGGAAGAGATCCCTGCGGAGCTTCCGCAGGACAAGGGAATCCAGCACGAGATTGATCTCGTGCCGGGGACGAAGTACTGTGTCACGCGGCAGTGGCCACTGCCGCGAGAGCAGGTCAAAGCGATCGACGACTTCTTCGAAAGTCGTCTCAAAGCTGGACAAGTGCGGGAATCGAAATCCCCGCACAGTGCTCCGACGTTCTGTGTCAAGAAGCCACAGGGCGGCTGGCGCATCGTTCATGCGTATAACAAGCTGAACGATGCGACGATACCGGCGCAGACGCCGATACCTCGAAAAGATGTTATCATCGATTCGATGGCCAGGAGCAATATCTACAGTGCTCTTGATCTACGCGATGGGCTCTATCAGATCCTCATGCGTGAGAGCGATATCCCTCTCACGGCAGTGAGCACGCCGAGCGGCATGCTATGGGAGTGGCTAGTGATGCCGCAGGGTCTGAAGAACGCCCCTGCGACCTTCAACAGGTGCGTGACGCACTTGTTGCGCTCGGTGCGCGACTTCGCACCGAGCTACTTCGACGATGTGTTCGTCCACAGCCGGGCTGCGGACGGGGTGAGCGATGTTGAGATGCTCAAGGTGCATCTCCGGAAGCTGCTTGCGCTCAT